GAAGATCACAGACGCATGCTAGGTTCTTAATATGTGTTGGTTGTGTTTATTTTATAATACATATATTTTTGAAGAGCAAATTTTAATTGACTCTACATAACTTTAAAATTTATTAAAGAATCTATTTAAAAGAATCTTTAATGATGTCTGTTCTAAAGCAAATCGTCACTTTCTAATTTCTTAGTTGCTCATAGCAAAGCTCCCTATAATAATGATTCTTGGCTTTGAAGAAAACATCCATTTCCAAAAAGACTTTTGTAGTTAAGTGCTTCAAAAAATGCGAACAGAGTTTAATAAGGGCCAGATTACCTTTGGAGATTTTTTTCCCATGTAACAGAACTGTTAAAGCCCTGAGGAGGTATTCTTTAGTTACTGTGTTTCAAAGAGAAAGCCTTCTCCCTGACCTATTTACTACATGGTGAAATTTACTTCCCAGTTTGTCAGTTGGTCAAAGAACACAAAGAATGGAATTATGAGGATAAGGTGCATTTCAGAGTGAGTTTCAGTAGTAGGTTTATTTTACTAGCTTATATTTATAGCTTGAATTTTTAAATACTGTGTGGGTTGTGAGACTAATACTGTTCTCTGAGACAACCATATAGGCGAGATCACCTTGTGATCATGGCTTGTTGACACTGTGGTAACTAAAGCCCCCTTGGATGAAATTCAAAGGGGAATTGCCTTTTATACTGAATTCCTCTCCTTAATAAAGAACCCTACTGTAGGGTTCAGGGTATATCGTTTAGTCTTTTAAACTACATACTATAATAGTCAGGACTTGCATATGTATTGATAAATTTATTCCTACATATTTCATGTTTTTTCAATGCTGTTGTAAATGGTATTGCTTTTTAAATTCGTTGTCCAATTGTTCATTGATAGTAGAGAAATACAGCTGATTTTTATATAGTGACCTTTTATCCTGTAACCTTGGCTAAAACTCACTTATTCTAATAGATTACTTAGGATTTTTTACATATGCAGTCATATTGTCTACAAAGAAAAATAGTTTCACTTCTTTATTTCCAATCTGAATATCTTTTTTTTCTTGCTTTTTTTTTGTGCTGAGAAGAACTTCCTGTACAACATTGAATAGAAAATGTGAGAGTGAACATCCTTGTTTTGTTCTTGATCTTAGGGTTGCCTTTCCCCACGTAAAAGCTATGTTTGTTGTAAGTTTTTTCTAGAAGTCTTTGTCAGAATGAAGAAGTTTCCTTCTATTCCTTGTTTGAAGAGAGTTTTTATCATAAATGCATGTTAGATTTTGTCAAGTGCTTTTTCTATATCTGTTAAGATAATCATATGATTTGTATCTTTTTCTCTATTAATATGGTGAATTATATTGATTGATTTTTGAAAGTTAAAACAGCCTTAACTTCATGGGATAAACCCTACTTAGTCATGGTATATTACCTTTTTGAGGATTTTGAGTCTGTGTTGAGGGATGTTTCCTTTGCTTGTAATGCCTTTGTCTGGTTTTGGTAACAGGGTAATGAAATGCATTGGGAAGGGTTCCCTTCTCCTCTACTTCCTGAAAGAGTTTGTGTAGAATTGGTATTGTTCCTTAACTATTTAATAGAATTCACCAGTGACGCCATCTGGCCTTATGTTATATTTTGGGAAGATTGTAAATTATAAATTAAATTTCTTAAATTGTTATAGAGCTATTTATGTTTTCTTCCTGAGGCAGTTTTGGTAATTTGTAACTTTCAAGGTGTTTGTCCATTTCATCTAAGTTGTTGAATTTATTGGCATAATGTTAGTTCATAATATTCCTTTATTATCCTTTCAATGTGTGTAGAATCTGTCCTGATGCTCCCTTGTTGCCCCTGACATTAGTAATGTGTGTTTTCTTTCTTTTAGCCTAGTGAGAGTGTTAATTTTATTAAACTTTTCAAATACCAACTTTTGATTTTGATGGTTTTCTCTATTGATTATCCATTTTCTCATCATTGGTTTCCTCATTTATCATATTTTCTCCTTTCTTCTACTTATTTTGGGTAGTACTGGCATAGACATAGGATAAATGGATCAGAATACAGAGCCCTGAAATAGACCCATACGTAGACGCTCAACTGATTTTTGAGAAAGGTGCAAAAGTAATTTAAGGGGGAAAATGATGGCCTTGTCAAGAAACTGTGTGAAAATAACTAGATATCAGTATTGAAGAAATTGAATCTAAAACTTCACCCCACACCAAAAGCAAAAAGAAAAAAAAAAAATGACTTCAAGTGAATCACAGATTTGAATGTAAGAACCAAAACTATGGAATTTCTTGAAGATAAAAAAGGAGAAAATCTTGTGACTTTAGGGTAGTGAAAGATTTTCTAGATAGGACATAAAAAAGTGTAAACAATAAAGAAAAAACCCCAATAAATTGGTCTTCATCAAAAGGTAAACTTCTGTTCTTTGAAAGATACTGTTAAGAAAATAAAAAAAGCAAGCAACAGTGTGGGAGAAAGTATTTGCAAAACTTCTATCTGAAAAAGGCTTGTATCCAGAGTATACAAACATCTCTTACAACTTTATAATAAGACAAATACTACTATTTAAAATACGGTTAAACTCTTTTAATGGATACTTCACAAAAAGATGTGTGAATGACAGCACATGAAATGACATTCAAAAACATTAGCTACTAGTAAAATTCAAATTAAATCAACAAGCTAACACTTCATGGCCACTAGCATGGCTAAAATTTAAAAGACTGACTATGTTAAATGTTGGACAAGCTCTCTAGCAGCTGGAACTCTCATATATTGCTGGTGGAAACAGAAAATGGCACAACCCTTTTGGAAAACAATGTAGAAGTTTCTTATAAAGTTAAACCTACACTTTACATATAACACAGTAATTATACTGCTAGATATTTACCCTAGAGAAATGAAAATACATGTTCACAGAAAGACTTGTATAAGAATGTTCATAACAGCCTTATTCACAGTAGCCCCAAACTAGAAGTTACACAAATGTCCATCAGTAGATGAATGGAGCAATATATTGTGGTTTACTACTCAGCAATAAAGAGTAATGAACTACCGATACACACAACAATGTGGATGAGTCTTGAAAACATTACACTGAGTGAAAGAATCCGAACACAAGAGTCCATACTATATGATCCCATTTGTGTGAAACTTTATAAAAAATCAAATTTGATACAGAGTCACAGAAAGCAGATAAGTGGTTGTTTGAGGCCAGTAGAGGGGGAGGATAACAGGGGCATAAGGGAACCTTTTGGAGTGTTTGAAATACTTCTTGACTGTGGTTGTACTTAGGTGTGTGTGTTGTCCAGATTTTTCAAACTGTACCCTTAGAGTGGATGTATTATTTTATTATATGTAAATTATACTTCAATAGAAGAAGTTTCTTTTTTAGTTCAGAATCAGCTGCTGAGCTTTTTAAAAAGTGCTTTTGCCCACCCAGCATCGTTCCCAAGGAATCAATCTCCAGCATTAGGCCTGCTCATTTGAGGATTTTAAATGTTTCAGAGGTGGTTCTGATCAGCAGGACTTCAGAAATAACTTTTTCTTTGCATGACTTTTATTCTAAAGACTCCCAGGATCTAATAAAGTGAAATTTTAGTTATAAAAGGCATTACTGATTTTTTTCATGTTACTCATATCCCCACTTTGATTAATGGCTTTAAAAAGAACTTTGTCTATTTTACTTATTTTAAAAGTTTGCTATTTTTAATAATGCATGCTTACGTTATCATAATACAAAATATAAAAAAAGATTTTCTGTTATATCACATTTTTTGAGTATTTTACTAATGATTTGATGCATATTCTTCTAGATATTTTCCTTTCCTTATAGAGAAGGGACATATATTTTCAAATATCCATTTATGTATTTAGATAGTGTGTGTTGAGTGCCTGCTCTGTGGCAATTGTTATACTAGGTCCTGAGGATAATGAGCCAAAGAGACATCTGCCTTCCTGTGACTTGCTGTGGGGGGATACATCTTAATTAAATAATAACACAAATGTGTATTTTTAAATTGTAGCAAGTGTTACAGAAGACAATTATAGAATGTTATGAGATTACATAGTAAAAACTAAACCCTTTTCTGACCCTTTCACCCTAGTTCAGATCCATGCTTTGAAATGTTTGCTTTTTTGAAAGCATTTAGTACTGCTTAGATAGTATGATTATTCATTTGGATGAAACATCTTGCACATAAACATCCTCTTATTAAACTTTACTATTTTTCCTTTTATTGTTAGTCAGCATTTGTGTATTATTTTAAAACATTAAGAAATCTCAAGTATTTAATTTCGGTGACAAAAAATTGAAAAAAAAATCACACAGCAAATATTTATAAGTGTCTCCCTGAGTCTTAGTCTGTGACTGTCACTCAGTTATTCTCTGTAAAATGTTTTGCTACTAAAACAACAATAGCAACTTTAAAAAGTGGCAATCTGTTCTAGCAGCATATTCTTGGTGATAGCAGAGAAGTTATTAATGTTGGCATGTGTCAAACACAAGTGTTTTTTAAAATATCTTAACACAAAATACTAATTGTGTTTAATATTGATGGCGAGTATGTGAGATGGAAATTTTCTGCTTATATAAATTTAGGAAATGCAGCATTAAATGAAGTTAAACATTTTTGTCTCTAGGGTTTTTCAGAAGCTTTAATATGTTACTTTCTCTGAATCTTTAAGATGGAGCTTTAGTACACAGTGACTACTTGACTATGAAACCCTTTCGTGCTTGCCTTCTACTTCTGTGAACAGATATCTAAGGAGAGAAATAAATCTCCAATAGCATCTAAAAAAATCATAGTGACATATTTTAAAGATGCACAATAATTTTAATGTAAAAACATCGTTTAACTAGACATGATTTTGTCACTTATGAACACTAGATCTGTATTTTATATTTATATACTGAACTTTTGGGAATTAACTTTTACGTAACAAAAGAATCAATTCTCCATTTTGCACCCTTAACTGGGAGAGGAAAGTGAAATTTATGTTTTTCTTGTATTTCAGAACAAAGTAGAAGAGATGACTTAGAAGCTTTAGGTCATATGTTCATGTATTTTCTGAGAGGCAGTCTTCCTTGGCAAGGTTTAAAGGTACTTATTTTTGTGTTTACTTATTGAAGTTCATAAATTATTAATATATTAAGATCTTCTCTTCTAAGTATTTAATTTTAAAGTCACCTCTTTCTCAAGCTTTTTTCCTTTCTGTTTTAGGCTGACACGTTAAAAGAGAGGTATCAGAAAATTGGAGATACAAAACGAGCCACACCGATCGAAGTGTTATGTGAAAATTTTCCAGGTAATGAATAATGCCACGTTGGTACATGGACTTATACACAGAAAACCAGAACTGTTAATTTTCATTGCTTAAGTTATAAATACGTTTTTCATGCTTTCAAAAAAAAATCTCAAAATATGATTTAAAAGATGTCAGCACTTGATACATAGACTATAGGAGTAATTTGTATATTTGCTTTTTGTAAGATGGTATTAATAGAAGAAAATTCCGTCTTTTAATAATGTTGACCCATACTGCCTAAAGTAATGTTTTCTTCAGTGACATACTTTTAGTAAGTTAAACTATTTGCTAAGAAATACCAACTGTAAAGTTTTGGTACAGTGTTAATAATTTTAGTCTCATTGTCAAGCTCAAGGGAGATGTGTGAAGTATGATTTAGTCTAGTTTTCAAAATACAGTAAAACCTTACTAACCTTACTACTTTTAGGCTAATTTTATATTAGAGACCTTTATGAAAATAGATTAGCTTTCATGTAGATTTTTAGCAACTCAAAGTAAGTTGACAAAAATTTACTTAAGATTCCTAAATCAATTAAGAAATGAGAATAATGTGCTGCTAATGTATTAAAATAAGTGCTGTGATTTGTGCAATAATAATAAATAAAAAGAGAACCAAAGTTGAAGATAGAAGACTGAGTTCATATCTGACTTTAGTATTCACAGGTTCTACTGTACAATGCTGGCATTATCATTATTTTAATAATAGCAGCAGCATAATCAGTTTCTTTCTCAAGTTTGGTATATTATTCATTGACAGCAAACGTTAATTATATATTTTTCTTTCTTGTTTTAATATCTAGACCTGGAAGGTTAAAAGAAAGTACCGGTTGATTGTATTAGTAGTTTAAGTGTAGGCAGATTGACTGCATGTTGTTAAGAAGCCCATACAAATTTCTGCAGCGAAAAATGGGGATGCCAAAGTAAATTAACCAGGTGATTAGCTAGAAAGTGGACTAGCGAAAGAGTCACCATGTGAGGAGGGTCACTGGGTGCCACTTTTGTTACCGGTTGGGTTGTGCGTGATCCTATTCTTACTGGCCGCCATGAATGAATTGGATCAGAAAAGCAGCTAGGTGTTATTTGCTGTCCCTTACTACAGTGATTTTCTGTGCCCTGATGGTGAAACACTGCTTTATTAATTGCTCACTATTTTGCCTGTTGATTTTTTATGGCTTTTTCCTTCTTGTCCTTCTGGAAAGTATGACCTTTTAAAAATATATGTATCTCTCTCTAATAATTCTGAGAATTATAATAGCATGCAGAGATTTATATACTACCAAATAAATTGTTAATTATATGACCAGACATTAAAAGAAGATTTAAACTGTACTCCTGTGTTGTATTTCTGAGATCTGTTTTAGCTTTATTTTGCCAGGTCCATTAGTTGGAATACCGCTTGTAGCCAAGGTTAGGAATTTGAATCCTCTGTTGGTCAGTGAGTGTGTGTCACTGATTCTAAAGGGAATCCAGCAAGCTAGTGCAAATGCTTTCGCGTGAAAATCAATTCCCACCAATATTTAAAATTTATGAACTGAGTATGGTGCTTTGTGAGTAAATAATTATGCATTATTAAGTTGCTAGTTCAACCACTAACACTATCTAAGATTTCTATTAAAAGTAATATTGTAAAATAAAAATTTTAGCTTTTCCTATTGAAATGAAGCCAAAATAATGTTTGTTAAATTAAACTTCTCATTTCTCTTTTGTCCCTATTTCCTCCCTTCCTTTTCTCTTTACCAATACTCTTTTTTTTGAGGAAGATTAGCACTGAGCTAACATCTGCTGCCAGTCCTCCTTTTTGTTTTGCTGAGGAAGACTGGCCCTGAGCTGACATCTGTGCCCATCTTCCTCTACTTTATATGTGGGATGCCTGCCACAGCATGGCTTGCCAAGTGGTGCCATGTCTGCTCCCGGGATCTGAACCGGCAAACCCCGGGCCACCAAAGTAGAACGTGTGCACTTAACTGCTGTGCCACTGGGCCAGCCCCTCCTTTTCGCTTTTTTATTCCATTGAAATTAAACCCCTAAAATTTTAAATTGCAATAGAATTTTGTTATTTTTCATGTTTTTATAATAATTTGTGCTTTTAGACATTTAAAGAATTTTATTAACGAGTATATAGGAAAGTATAATCAGAATAATTTTTACTTCCTTCTAGAAGAAATGGCAACATATCTTCGTTATGTAAGAAGACTAGATTTTTTTGAAAAACCGGACTATGACTACCTAAGAAAGCTTTTTACTGACTTGTTTGATCGAAAAGGATATATGTTTGATTATGAGTATGACTGGATTGGTAAACAGTTGGTGAGTACACTGTGCTGTATAATAAAAGATTATTTGTAGCACTTTTCTTTTTCATGGTGCAGATCCTTGAATTGAGTTCAGAACAAATGATTTTTTAAAAGAGTTCATTTTATTTCCTTTCTATGGATATTTCAGGTAGCATAATACTAAAATTATTCTTTGAATTTTATAAAAACCCCACATTTGAACTCCCTGCTTTTCAGAGTGATGAATTATTTTGAGCTCTTCGTTCCTGATTTAGTTCTTAATGTAAAATTTACTTTTTAAAATATTCTAGTGATTACTTTAAGAAGTCAACAGGTTTTGTTTTTTGTTTACTTCAGCCATCTTTCGAAACATTTGTAGTTTAAAAATATGTTTTAATCATTCTAGCAGCTTTAGGTTATCTCTTGGAATAGATCGATACTTAGAAATTGGAGCATGTGTAGGTTTTTAAAACTGTACCTAAGTTTTATAATAAAAAAGTTGTCTTGATTGTAACTGTGAGATTGGCGCTCATCGCTTAAAGAGACAAATTCTTAAACTATTTCTTTGAAGAGATGACTTCTATAAAAGCAAACAATTATTCTCACTAGTCTTGTTTTTTAATAAGTAACAATGTCTTACAAAATTTTCTTCACTTGTGGCTTACTCAGTGAATTTTTATCCATGTTTGGAACTACTGAGCTCTCAGATTCAACTAGTTTTCAATAATTGACTTGCTTAAGTGTTTAAACTATGTTTTTCTTAAATCCAAAGTGATTTGAATATATATGGTATCTATGATGCAAATCTGAATAAACTTTTGATCTTAACTTTTGAATTATATTTGAAAGTTAAAAAATTTTAAGCCTCTTCTAAGTCAAAATATTGACAATAAACAGTTTTGTTAGCTTAATTAAAAAATTATTTCCTTAATTTTCTTAAAATACTTTATTCTGTTTATATATTAGCTTTGAAAATGAGAGACATAAACATATTTAAACAAACATAAACAAGGAACTTTCTTTTTTTGATATGAAAATGTAACCTAAAAGTAAGGACAGATTGGAAGGTCTTTTGTTGATATACAAATAAATACTTGATAAAATATTTAAATATGTTGAAAAGACTTTAAAAAGTAGCTATGTTCTCTTTGATTTAATTTGTTAGCTTTAACAACATGTTTTGAGAATGTCTTTTCTTAAGGCCTTTATTTATGTGTCTTTTATTTTTCCCTTGACTCTTTTAAGCAGCTACATGATTTTAAATAAGACTTCTGAAATAGAATGTATTGATCCTAATTGTCATTGTATTGTAGCCGACTCCAGTGGGTGCAGTTCAGCAAGATCCTGCTCTATCATCAAACAGAGAAGCACATCAGCACAGAGATAAGATACAACAGTCCAAAAACCAGGTTTGCTGCCCTTTTAGATATAAAATTCTTAATTTGCTTCTGTTTTACTTTCTGATAGTCTATAAATATATTTGGTGTTTTCCTGTGCTCACATGACAGCTTTCTATGTGTGTATGTGTGTGCATATGTGTGTGTGAGTGTATACATACACGTGTGTACATACACATGTATGTACGTATTGAAGGATTGATGTACATATTTTTTTCTTCAGTAGATAAAACAGATTCTATATACACATATTAAGAATTGAAAATACATATATTTTCCATAAACTGTTTCCCCTAATGTTCACTATTACTTTAATAATCACATTAAAATATTTAATTATAAATTCCTAATTTGTGGTATAAATTAGTTTAAACTTTGAGCAATATTTGATATTCTATTAGAATGGAAGTACTTGGATACCCTGTTGGAATGAATTGTAATATCAGTCGATTTTTCTAACTATAGTCTAGTTTAGTTCAATAAATTATTTACTGAGTTTCTGGTATTTGAAAGCTACTGTTCTACACATTGCAGAAATGCAGAAGTAAGGAAACAATATAACCTCTAAGAAATGATCTTTTAACAGTAGCTAAGAGCTCAGTCTCTGGAATCAGACGTACCTGGATATGGCTTGACCCTGGGCAAATTATTCAATCTCTCAAAGCTTCAGTTCTTTCATCTATAAAACAGAAATAATGCATGTTAATTCCTAGCATACAGTTAAGCTTTCAGTAAATCTTAACTCTTGTGGCTGATGTTACTGTTATCATGATTATTATAATAAATTCACAAATAACTATAAGGCAGGATAAGTTCTATTGCATGAAATATATTAATAAAGTACCATGGAGGATCAGTGGGATATGTGGGATCTATAAAGATTTTGTGGAGAAGATGGCTTTTGAGATGAATCTGAGAAATGAATGGAATTGTTCTTTTTTTTTTATGAGAAAGAGTGGCCCTGAGCTAACATCTGTGCCAGTCTTCCTCCATTTTGTATGTGGGACGCCTCCACAGCATGGCTTGATGAGCGGTGTGTAGGTCTGAACCCTAGATCCGAACCTGCATATCCTGGGCCACTGAAGTGGAGCACGTGAACTTCACAACCATGCCACTGGGCTGGCCCCGCAAATGGAATTTTTAAAGGCAGATGAAGGAATAAGAGCATTTTGAGGAGAATGAAGAGTACAAAATATGAAGCAGAAATTTTTAAAAATGTAGAATTTGAGGACTAGCAGGCAGTTTGGAGAGTGGGTTCAAGATAAGGCATAGAAGGTCTATCGAGAGTGAAAAGTTTGTATTTCCTGGGTAAGGTAATTGAAAGCTGTTGCAATTTTAAGGAGTGTTTTCACTTTTCTCTTTTTTTGTAAAAAGAAGGTTTATTGAAGCCATCTTTGACATAAAAAATTTTGCTATCACCCCAAGTTTTTAAACAGTCTTTAGGATTTTTGGTTATAACCCTTTTTGGAGAAGGATAGTGCATTATCTTTTTTTCCTTTTACATCTTTTATCCCATTAGAGCTCAAGTGAGGGTTAAACAAGAGATGGACAATCAAAGGGAAGAACACAACTTATTAAAAATCATGGCAAAATGAAATGCTACATTTAGGAGATATTTAAAAATATTATGCTTTAAAGTACAGCCAATTTAAAAAGATTAGTTTTAGAATTTTGCCTTAGGAAAATGGGGACAATAAAGGGTCTTATGTATAAATTACTTCAAATATAGATGACAACTAGTTGATAGCTTGAGTACTCTGATAAGATGCTGTATATAGAAAGAAATGGCCAGAAGTCAAGACTTGGAGTTTGTGTTTTATAAATCAGAGTTAATTTTTCAAATGTGCTTGGAATAAAATCAATAATTCATGTTCCCTGAAGATCTCCACTTGAGCTGATAGGTATTATAATAAATGAATCTCTTCTTTTATTGTTGAATTAAATTATAATTTAAATATTTTAGAGTTTAACTTTCTACATATTTCAGACATGTCTTGCTGGCTAGATTGTGAGCTCACTGAGGGTGGAAACTATATTTGTGTAGTCCTTGTTGCACTAAATGTAGGGAGTCAAATTTTTTTTTCTGTAAATTCTTTAGGATAGCTTATATATTGAATTTGAAACCTGGATATACAGACGGTCATCATAACAGAAAAGTTGTATATCTTGGAAAAATTTCTTAAATATCTGTGAAGCAGTAAACAATTTAAGTTATATGGAAAACCCATAGTTCACAATTCCAATGGAAGAAAAGTTAATTCTTGAAATGACTGAAACCTTTGTAATGGCCCAGATAAACAATTTGTAACCTAGAGTCAAAGCTTGAAGTTCAGGGGATCCTGAAGTTTTGTAGAAAGTGTTGGGTGCCTGTAAATGTTTATTCTCAGGGGAAGTTGCATGACTTTTACTATCTTCTAAACGAAGTACGTGACTCCCAAATGTTGCCTGGTGTCCTAGGCAACATTTAGATATTTGATTCAATTTTAGCATCATTTTCAGTCTTTTCTCTTCTTTACATTTGATCTTATCTAATTTATTTCAGTTTAAGCTATAAATTTGCTGAATTCTGGTGATGAATTTGGAGGGTTTAGTGAAAAGACTAATTATAGAACTATCGTAATTGTTTTGGTGACATACTTCATGCCACACAGTATGTCATTTTGCATTGTACAATTTAATTTAGGAAGCTTAGTGCTGAAACTTTTATTCATTGTGTCTACTTGGATTTAACTTCTCTTCTCCCAAAGGATTGGTTAGGTTCCCAAATACTTAGGCCCCCTATAGCCCAATGTACTTGGCACTTTGTGGCAAGATTTTCTTGACTTTGGTTGAAAAAGAAAGAGCCCTGAAGGCTTTAGAACATGTGATTGTGGTAAGGAGCTAGGTAGTATTATTGGAAGAGCAGTAGGTTCTGAGTTTGAATCCCTGTTGTACTCCGTGCTATTTCTCTGACCTTAGGGAAGTGTTTAGCATCTTGATGTCTTCATCAGTAAAATGAAGGTGATACCATCTATCTCAAAATGAGATACACATGTAAAGCAGCTAGTGCAGAACCAACATGTAAGAGAAACTTTAAATATTGTGTTCCTTCCCCTTCTTTTTGTTAGCGCTATCCACATTTTCCTGAAATATAGAAATTGACCCCTATTCAGCCACTACTCCTAATTCTGCCAATAGAGTACTATTAGTTTGTGGTTATTGCCATGCAAATTTGCCAAGTCATCTAAAAACAGAAGGAATTATCAGCCTATTTCATGGAAATGGGTTCTGTAATTTGAACCAGATAAAAAGAGATCAAGGAAGCAAAGCGATTCATGTATGTAGGATTGTCATTTAAAAAAAAGTGTTTATCATATCCTCATAGTACTCTGTATAGCATTTCTCACTTTCCAAAGAACTTTTCTGTCTTCTCATATTATCCTCACAATCAGAAACAGCATCCTAAGCAGGAGAGACAGTTTTCTAGGATCCTAAGTACAGCTATTCAAGGACTATCATTTTTTGTCTTGCCAGAAGTAGTTCCTCATCAGAAAACCAATGGGGACCTCTACTGTAAGAAAACGTAGTGGATGGCTTTTTAGTACTTTTATGATTTATTTGAAGTGCTTTCTTGGGCACGTCATTTTTACCTCCCTAGGTCTTTGTTAGCTTCACTTATAAAGTTAGTAGGTGGAGTCTATGATATCTAAAGACCTTTCATTTCTAAAATTCTATGCTTCTATTTTATTTTTATGATTGATCATTACATAATTGTAGAAATTTAACTAAAATCTGTCCACATACAGTATGCAAAGATAACTACATCTGTGATTCAGAATAGTCAGGATATTTTAAATTTCCTTTTATACGTTTGTTTTCTATATTACAAGGATGAGATGTTTAACATATTGGGTTTTTCTTCTTCCATGCATGCCACATGCATTAAATAAATGGCAGTCGGCAGACCACAGGGCAGCTTGGGACTCCCAGCAGGCAAATCCCCACCATTTGAGAGCTCACCTTGCAGCAGACAGACATGGTGGCTCGGTACAGGTATTTTCTGATTTTTGCATGAGTGATTATTTCCCAAATTTTACAACTAACCCTTTTTTGGAACTCATGGCATGATTTCATATCCTAATGAGAAACTTGTTGCTGAACTCTCCATAATACTATTCCTTTGTATTTAACCAAAAAGCAAAATTAACATGGTCTAGAAAGACCACCAAGGATACTAAGATTTTGCCTTTGTTCATTTTTGCAAGTATATGCAACAATATTTATGTCAGTCATACACAACAGGTTAGAAAAACAAACTGTATTACTTGAAATATATGTTAAACTTGATTTTCTAGTAATAAGCTCACTCTTTTTTAACGTTTTAAGTAATAGAACATTTTTAGGTCTTTTCTGTTTCATTGATTTTGCCTCCTTCAAACTTAAGTCAGTTAAATAGATATCTGACTTTTTTCATCCTTAGTTCTCAGAATGTACTTTCTGATTAATTGGTCAAATAAACATGACCCTAATTTTTATAATGGTGTATTTTATTTGTGCTTGTAGAAAATATCAAATGGAGAAAATAATTTCAAAGGCAAGTATTTATTAAATAATTCCCACAATTTTCTGGATATTTACAAAAATTTAAAGCAGTTCTTTATTTTGTGATGTGTTTCTTTTTTTCCCCTTTTCTATACACTTGAGATAGTTAGTATATTCTGCCCTCCCATGCCCCTTACATTTTAATCTTTTGTATGTATTGTAGAAATAGGAAAGGATTACTGAGTCTTACTCCTTTTAAAATGTTGGTTTAAGGTAATCTAAATCCTGGTTTAAAGTGATGGAAAGGATAAGTATTGTCTCAATCCATTTCAATTTAGAAACTTTTTGAAAAAATTGATCTTTTTCCTCCACATATTTTCACTTGAATAATTTTCCATTATGTTTTTATGAAATTTGCATTTTTCTTAGTGTGTGTATATGTATTTAATCTACTGAATCTATGCCCTGGATTTTATTCTTTCTTGATTTACATTCTAAAAAAAATCAATTCTTGATGAAATCTTATGAGTTTTCATGTTTTTCTTACCGTTAAATTTTAGAGATCATTTAAATTATGTAACCAAATATTTTTATAGAACTTTGTCGTCTGTGGAACTTTCAGTCATGTGTAATAGAAGTATTTAAATAGTTCTATAAAAGTCTAGACTGCGGGACTCAGAGGCAAGGGTGCCTGAATTGTGAAATTTTTTATGACCTCAATTCCTATAATTGGAAAAGTTAATTGAGCAAATTATATTTCATTTGCATAACACAAACTGGATTGTGTATATATCTGTATACATTTACAAGTTTCTAAGTGTTATATGTTATTATTGCAAATCTCTTGCTCAGTGTTCAGGGAAATCCACAATAATTAAGACACTATTTGAAAGCTTTCCTACCACTTCTGTACCAGTACCACAAATTTACTTTCTTAGCTTCTTCTTACTCCGTTGGATTCCTAAAGGTGGCTCATGGGATCTCTTTGGACCATCACAGGGTGAATGAGTTTGATTATTGGCTCATCGCTCCAGTACTTTATGTTCTACTTTTTCACGTGATTTCAAAGAGTTATTTCAATTCTGCTCATTTCTCATCATCTCTTTAAAACTTTTCTGCCTATAGAGACTATATCTGACTTCATTCTGAAATTCAATAAGTGATTAATTTTACTTACGAGAATTCTAGTAACACATAGGTCAAACAAAAAATTTTACACTGTTTTTATTGGCTTCTTGAATATATTTTACAACATTAACTAACCTGATATGATGAATATTAAACAAGTTTGACTGTCATGAAAACTTAGTAGCAGCCTAAGTAAAAATCATGCCTGAATCCTGCCCCACCCCAAAATATTGAATTCATAATTTATATCCTACCCACTTTCAAAATTTGAGAAGTTATGTGACTAATGAAATTGTATAATTAGACTAACTAAATTATAATTTAAAACTAGTAAGAGAGGAAAGAAAATTACCTAAAATCTAAGCTAATATAATTATTATAATAATTAAATAATACTACATGTGATTCTGAACAAAGCAAGGAAGGGAACCAATGTGTTCCATCATTCTCATCATCTGATAAAGGGTATAGATCAAAGAGAGAAAACCTTTCTACTAGTAGAAAAGTATGAGAAGAATTTGCCTTGGGGTTCTTTGTGTGATGGTTGTTAAACCACCTATTGGACAAAGTTTCAGGCATTTAATTTGCAGGAGATGCAGAGACTTTATATGGCAATTGAAAAACTAATCCTCAGTACTAAGGGCATATCATCAAATAGTTTCTTTGGAAAGACATTTCCATAGTAAGTAGATAGCTATCTAGTAATAAAATGTGGCACAGATTTAGCATATTCATAGGCAGAGTTAGCAGTTACGTAAAACAAACCACTTTGGGCCTTGACATTGCTCTCTCCTCTATCGCTGCACTCTTCCATGTGTCTGAGAATTGCTGTTAGTGTGGCAGCACAAAGCACTCCAGGCTGGTTCCAGTTGGCATGCAAGGTGAAACTTCTTGCCATTTTGACCTACAGAAAGATCCTCAGATATTTATTATTTCAGATGTGCTTTTATAGGAACCAAATAGTAGAGTTTAAATTTGAACTCCTTATCTTTCTGGAATTATTATGTATATTACAGATCAGATATACAGGTTACCATTGATTTCACTGTGGTTGAAAGCACAAGCTCTGGAGTCAGATTTGAGTTCAAATTCTGTGCCTTTGATTACTCATCAGTGAAATGGAAATATTCATAATACTTTTACCTCATGGTTTTGTTGTGAGAATTTAATTTTTTAAAGAAGTATTTGGCATAAATGCTGGGGCTTAGGAAGTGCTAAATAGTAGAATAATCTATTGCTTTTGTGAGAAACTTGACCAGTATTTTTATCCATCTCTGGGAAGTGAAGTGAAAAGGTGCAGCCAAAAGAAAACATCATCAAATGGAATTTATCTAATTTTATTCTCTCTCTTTAGTGAAATCATGTTAATTGGTTAACCAGAGGATACAGCTATACATTTGATAAACTTTTCCCACTCAAGAGACTAAGAATAACATTTAAACATCTAAAGAATTTATTTTGAATCTTTTCTTGGCTTGTATGTGTTAAGCTTCTAGGGGACTCAACTGTGCCCCTCTCTGCTCCCCTTAGTGTCCTTGGTAATAAGAAACTTAGACCTTCCACTCAGTTTCTTGGCCAGTCATTATTTGGCAAATATATACATATATATAATAAAAATATATACACAAACACTCACACTCACTAATGTCTACTAGGTGCTAGGCACTGTGCTACTTTCTTTGAATAAAAAGAATAACAGAAATATGGTGCCTGTCCCCATGGAGCTTTCAGTCAATGCAGAAAGCTAATAAGTAGAGTGATAAGTGGAGAAAGTACAAGGTACTATGAGAATGTATAGGAGAAGTACTTCACCTGGATTTAGTGGGTTAAGATTTCCTGGAAACAGTGTTATCTATTTATATTCTACTTTTTTGCGTGTTTTCAAAGTGAGGAATCGGTAGGAGTTGGCAGTTCAAGAATGTAGAAGGGCTCAAGAGAGGAGTGTAGCAGGCAGAGAATGAAGTCTATGTAAAGTTGTGGAGGAGAGGGAGACATACTGAGGAGCTGAATAAAATTCAGTCAAGCCGGTATGTGCTGAGGAAGGAGGCTGAGAGGTAGGGAGGAGCAAATCAGGAAGGACCTAACAGGTCTCGTTATAAAATTCGGACTGTATTCTGAGGATACTGGGTAGCTATGGAGGAATAGATAGAGAACTGACTTGATTAGATTAGTGTTTTCTAAAGATTGCTTTTGCTGGAGACTAGGTTGAAGGGAGACAAGTCTGAGGCAGGGACAGAGCTATGAAAAGGCTATAGCTGAGGAAAAATGATAGGTAGTGGAGAGGAAGAGAAATAAAAAGGACTTGAAAGATAATTAGGAGGTAGAATTTAGTTGGGTATGGGGGCTGAAGGGAGAGGAACGGTTCAGTTATCCCTTTTTGATATATTTCTACCTGGCAAATCTGGATCTCCAAAATTAGATTTTAAAATGTACCACTAGCAACAGATAGTGCTAATCTCTAATTCCTTTGTAGCTGTGCCTTTGACTGTGGCGCAACAGCATTCAGTTCGGTGCTAACTGAAAACCTGATCCTATAAAGCTGAGAGGTAATTGCAAGCAGAGGGAAGAAGACAAATATTAAGAACCCTATTGAAAAGCTGTTTTACATGGTATGGTATACCTCCTGATTGTTTGGAAATCTCCTCTAGTTGTACAGCCATTGGTTTGCATTTAAGAAATAATGTGACTGAGTGCCTGGGGAAAAAGGGCAGAATCACAAATGTTGCAGATGTGTTGTGCAGCCAGGCACTGCCGATGAAAATGAAAGAATAACGTTAATTATTGTAATAAGAAGTCTGGTATTTTAGTTAGTATAACTTTAGAAGTGCAAGTACAGGTGATGATAACAGAAAAAGAATCAGACAAATGTATCTTGAAATGGTAAGAAAATGTGTAGTTCAAAGTCAGAGGGGTAATAGATGCTATATCTCTGTCAGTTCTCCATTATGCTAATTATTAATGCTGACCTTTCTAATACATTTCAAATAACAAATTTTCTCTATCAAATCTTTGAAAATACAGAGGTACTAACAAGGAGAAAAACTCAGTGATTAGTACAATTATATCTTTCTATTCATCATTTTCTGGGGTACTGAAATCTGCAAAAGAAAGCTTGTAGAGGAGAGTAGTTATGTACATGCCTTTGTTACATGAATAACTTCCAACTCTTCTCCTTTAGTTGACTTTAGGAAATTTGTTGTCTGGTTGTCATTGGGGTAGATCAGCATTGCAAATTTCTTTTGATATATTATTTTACAGTAACATTGTAATAGCATCTCAGAAGACTGGAATACTCAAGAACATAGTGCTCTGCTCTTTCACTTCTGTGAGTGAAAGTTAGGTTGAAAATCTGTTTTGGTTTATCTTTGTTGAAAGTTGAATGAGAATGTCACTATGCCTTCAGGTCGTGAGTTGGAATATCAAGAATATCAATTATAACTGTAGCTGTAGATTTTAGAATGTGTAAGAGAGTTGGTTTCCTATAGTACCTGTGAACCCTAGCAAAGGTCCAATAAACTCATTGGGAGTTACTCTTAACTATATCTCATTTATCAGTATACTTTCTTAGAGGTGACTTTTAGCAAAAGCTGAGTGTATAAGGAAAATATATAATGTTTTAGTATTTCTAATATGTTTATGGATTAGATGGAGATCTGGTTAATTACATATTGAGTCTTTACCGAGCACTTGGTAATATGCTTACAAGAGCTCACATAGAAATTAGGAAGATAGTAGTAAAACTAATTTGTATGAATTTATTGTATTTGGAAAGTATATTAATTGGCCTTTTAAGATCATTGACTACAAAGATACTGTGTGTTATCTTTGTACTCAAAAGTCTATGTGAATGACTTTCTTGGGAATTAGATTGGCAGACAGCCATTAAGTGAACCATCATTTATCTCCCACACTTAGCTGCAGTCTGTGCTCCTCCACTCCCTTAAACCCTGGTAAACGAATAGTAAAACTGCAGTCTGGGTGCCTTTTTTTTTTTTTTACCTCTTAAAATAAGAAGTGCACTAAGTTTCTTATCAAAGTGGGAATATCAGAGAAAATTTCTTTAAAAACAATAAGAACAAAAAACCCTGTAAGACACCTGAATTATTTTTTGAAATGTTAAGCCTTGAAGCATGTCATTTTTACATATACTTTCGTTAAGGAAATAAGCCTGATAAACACTTACATTTCAGAGACTGTTATGTTTTAGTTCAAGTTATAATTCTAGAAGTGTCATCTAAATGGAATTACTCTTTAGAATTTGACTTATAAAAATAATTTGTATATATTTGATTGATTGATTTAGATTTCCAGGAATATAGTGACATTATTTATAATATTATGTCTTTGTTTCTTCTTTGTAAAATCCCTTTGGAAAAAAACCCACTAGTTTTCTTAAGTGAAAACCATTTTAATGCCATGATACACTCTCAAGTCACTGGTGTTAAGTAGGCTAACTTTCCAGGAGAACTGTGTTATCACATTGATTCCATTCTGACCCTGGGATATTGGCTTTGACTCAGAGGCTTAGGGAATCTGGGAAACCCAGGAAAAATTACAATAAAAATTTACATAAAGGAAGTTATTACTTCCTTCTGGCCTGGTTCTGGTCAACCAGGTAAAATGGGATTTGAAACCTTTCACTAAAATAAAGTTTACTAAAGTCAGGTATGACTGTGTGTGAACTGAAGTAAGTCAGATTATATAATTACAATGCATATGTAATTGCTGTTGCTGAAAATTTAGAATAGCTGGGTTTTAAATTTTCAATTCTATGACTTAAAGTAAGGGAAGACACGTTAGAAGAGCTGCCTGTAATTCAAGATGGGGTTCCTCCAACTATGTGGGGCCATTGAAGAAAAAGGAGGAAAAGAAACCTGTTGAATATTACGTTGAGGGAAGAGCAGTGGAAATTGTTCAGTGAACTGTTTTGATTATCTACTACATGTGAGGCACTGCTAGTTAAAGGTAGTGAGAACACAAAAGTGTAAGGTAAGAATTCTGCTTTCTAGCTCCTTTCCAATTCAGTGTAGGAGCTCTGACATTTTAAAAATTGAGAATAAAGAACCAAATTATGTTTGATATTTAGAGCAAATAATTGTTTTTAAATGTTTTCAGAAAGAGAGAGAAATAAAGAGAAAAAATTGACACAGAGCTCAATAAAATAACAGAAAGGAGGAAGTAGGTGCCCCAGAAGCAGAGAGTCAGACTTAGATGTAGGTCTGTTCCTCTTGGGAACATGTCCCAACACGTTCCTCTCCTTGGATTGTCTCTAAAGATGATCAAGGCAGTTTTGTGTGTTTTCAGCTAAGGCACAAATGCAGTGTTCATTTTTAAGTACTTGTTCCACATCGGATAAAGGAAAATGAACTTCCATAATTCCTGCATTAATTCAGATATATTGGTTGGTTTCTAGTTACTTTCCTTGGCGGCAGGGGAGCCTTTTTCTCCATGCTAGAATATCAGGTCCTTGAGGGCAGGGATGTTTGTCTTGTTTGTGGTATTCTAAGATCCTAGAACACTGCCTGGCACATTGTAGCCTCTCAGTAAGAAATTTTGAGTTAATTAAGTTTTAGAAATATGGGGCTCTGTAAATGGTACTCTTAAGTCTAATGATCAGCTGTCAACTCTGGTGCCTAGGCCTTTGATATGTTAACATTTTTTTTCTTATGAAGAGATCAGGTAGGGGAAGCATCTAAGATGATTCTTAGATTTTGAGCCTGGAGATATGGGGAGATGGTAGGGCTTTAATAGAAATTGGAACCACAGGAAAAGTAACAAATTTAAGAGGAAGTGTGATAAATTTTGTTTTGGAAATATTGAGTTTGAGGTGCCAGTGTTGGTCTAGCTAAATGAACATGTGGGTGAGTGGTTAGGCTCAGGGAATCCTTTACATAGAGGTGATAGATGAAGCCATGATTGTAGGTGAAACTGACAGTAATAATGGTGGCCACTGTTTATTGAGATCTTACTCTATGCCAGTCATGGTGCTTTATAAATTGATTTCATTTCATCCTCATATCTACCGTGTTAGGTAGATACTGCTGTTTCCCATTTCATGGTTGAGAACACTGAGGTTTAGCAAGATAGGTATCTTTCCCAGGATCACCTAGCTAGTAAGTGGTAGAGCCAGGTTTTGAATCTACCTTACTCATCTTACTCCAAAGTCATCAGCTGCTGCCAAGTGATACAGAAATGTACAGGAAAATCAGGACTGAGCAAAGACCACTGAATATATTTCCTAGGAATCATTGGCAACCTTCCTAGGAATCATTGGCAGCCTTCAAGAGAACTCTTATTAGAGTTGTAATGTGGGGACAGAGTACAGAGTGCAAGGAGTTAAGGAATAAATGAATGGAAAATTTTATGAAAATGGAAGTAGTAAATTAAAAAGGCAAGTTAGGGGAAAGCAAGAATAAATAGGACAGTAAAGTGACTTTGCAGGACCAAGAGAATTTGGGAGTTTTCTTAGGGTTTTTCTCTTGTCTTAAGATTCATTCATGCATGTATGCATTCATTTATTTCAGCAAATATTTATTGAATGCCTGTTCTGTGCCAGGTGTAGTGGGGAGATACAGCAGGAAACAGCACATGGTTTTGCTGTCACAGAGCTTAATTTTTCTTTTTTTTTTTTTTTTTGAGGAAGAGTAGCCCTGAGCTAACATCTGCTGCCAATCCTCCTCTTTTTGCTGAGGAAGACTGGCCCTGAGCTAACATCCGTGCCCATCTTCCTCTATTTTTATATGTGGGACGCCTGCCACAGCATGGCTTGATAAGCCGTGCATAGGTCCACACCGGGGATCCAAACCAGTGAACCTCAGGCCACCAAAGCAGAATGTGCAAACTTAACTGCTGTGCTGCCAAGCTGGCCCCACAGAGGTTAATTTTAATGGAGGCAGGGATGGAGATGTGTCAAGAAACACGTCAATCAGTCAGTGAGGAAAACATCAACATGGATAACTGCTATGCAAACAATTAAAAACAGAATATAACTGAATGTGACTGAACAGAAGCTTTAGATTGTATGATGGATAATGCCTGTTTTAGAGACATTCTCTGAGAATCTGAAAGATAAGAAGACAGCCAATAAGCAGGAAAAGAACAAGGCCTTAAGGTGTAAATAAGCTTGTCATTATTGGTTGGAAGCTAGAGAGCAAAGAGGAAAGTGGTATGAGATCAGAGTAGGCAAGATTCAGATCTTGTGGGGCTTTGTAAATTAGGGTAGAGTATGGATCTTTATTCTAAACAAAATTAGGAAATCGACACTTGAAGAGTTTTAAACAGAGAATTATACTGGATTTAATTTACATCTTAAAAGGAGCACCCTGGTTGTTGTATGGACAATATATTAATGGCGGGGGATATAAGTAAAAGCAGAGGACCAGTTATTAAGCTTTTACTCGTATTTACACGAGAGAAAATGGTGGCTTGGACTGAAGTCCTGGTAGTAGCAGAGTAGGGAGAAATGATTAAGTTTGAGATGTGTTTCGCCGGAGGATTTAATAGGACGTGCTGATGGATTAGATGTGGATTTTAAGTCAAAGAGAGGAATCATAGTGACTCCTGGATTTGGGGCTTGAACAACTGGGTGAATGAATGGGCAATATGAAAGGGAGACCTGGGCATGATTACAGATTGAAGTGAAGGATCCATTGGAAGGAGCGTTGTTGAAGTTTGCAAGGAAAGTAATTCGTGTTGTAGCCAAGTACCAAAGGAGGTGAGCACATAAGAGGGAACAGATTGAGACGTAAGTGTAAGAGTTAGCCTATAAAACCAGAAGGAAGGAGACAGAGATTTCAAGATGAAAAGGAAATAAGTTGAAAAGCAAATATTGGATAGCCTTGATCTTTAATAAAAAGCTAGATCTATTTGTATATTCAGTTATGTACAACTACATACTAATTGTTTTATGTTCCTCATATTAACTTTCTCATTTAAATGCTTTAACCTTAATTATGTTTAACACTGTGTAACCAATTATTTTGTGTATATATAATTTTTTTTTTTTGCAGGTTGTAAGTTCTACAAATGGAGAGTTAAACACAGATGATCCTACTGCAGGACGTTCAAATGCACCCATCACAGCCCCTACAGAAGTAGAAGTGATGGATGAAACCAAGTATGTGTTTGTTCTGCTTCTTTTAGTAACATTTTGTTCTTAAACTGCATGTTTGAGATTTATAGTCATGTACAATTATTTCAGGAAATTTTTTTCAAGGAGTAAGTGCATGTAAAAAAAGTGGTATGTTTAATTGTTTTGATCACTCAGTTTAAAATAGTGCTATTCCAGTAAATATTTTAATAATACAAAAATAGTTATTTAAGAACTGTGCTCAAACTCATATTTAGAATAAACAGCATATTTTTAGCTTTTTATTTTTAGGAATGTTGATGTATGAAAGTTATTGCTGTACTATAGATGCTCTTTTATTTCTGTAAGCATAAGTATTAATTTTATAGTATCCTGCATGCATTAATAATTAGTTTTAAATCTTTTTGTGAATGTAAAGTATAATCTGCTTGGAAAAAATTAAGCATGAAAACCAATGTGATAATTTCAATATGGGCTGTTTCTGATGATCTCTCTCTCTCTCTCTTTTTCCTTGTATTTTTTTTGTGTATAGCTGCCAGAAAGTGTTGAACATGTGGTGAGTTCTCAAGTGTAGGCAGGCAGAAATAGCTCCGCTGACTGTAATTTCAAAGATTTAGCACCATTTTGTGTTTTTTAAAAAAAAACCTTTCAACATAGAAATCGTAATTGGTAAAAGTTGTTCAAAAGTATTTGATGTCATTTATGTTACCTCTGAAAAGCAAGAAATAATTGTGTGAGGAGCTCTTTTGCCTGCTACAACTTTTTTGCTTCAAGTGATGTAGAATTGGGGCACTTTTTTATTGAGTGGATGTTGATACACCAACCCTGCTTGTGCTTGTGCATTTGTTCTGTAACACAGAGGCTTTGTTTGCTATTTTATTTTAAATAGAAAGACAGGTTTTTGAGTTAAGCTTCCTTTTTTCCTGTTTGTAATTGTTAAATACACGTAGCAAACCCCCATGCCCGCCCCGATAGTATCACTAAAACAGTATTTCATTTACTAATTTTATTGCCATTGAATACACATGGTACACAATCGATAAATTTCATGATAAACTATGGTGAGAGAGTGTTACGAAAAATCATCTACATAGTTCCTGCTAATTGCAGATATTATGAAAAATAATATTCCTATTAGTTGAAATAATGTTGAATTTAAACTATTTTCTGACATTTGCCTTTAGATGTAATGCTGTGTTTAAAATGCTTCTCTCAGTGTCAGAACAAATTCTTAGTCAGCCTTGGAGTGAATAAAGAAAGTTGCTTAGATTAGTAAATTTTGGAACATCCTACTCATATCCCAAAGGAACCTAACTTCCAAAATAAGGCTTATTTGCTGGCTGCAAGATGAGGAAACTTCTGTGGATATTTCCTTTTAAAGAGTAATGATCAAGTATCAATTTTAGTCAGTCTTGTCTATGGAATTTATTGACAGTATGACTTAGTTTAGTGGATTTCAGGATATAATTAGTCATCTACATACTTGTGCATTTTTACATCAAAACTAAAAACAGCAGTTAATGCTTATTTGTGTGCGGTTATAACTAAGGACAGTTATAAAAGTAGGGTGGCAGTGTGGCTGATTAGAATGCACGTGTCTTTTGCAGTTAAACATAGGTTATAGAATCCTACTTCTGCCCCTTACTTGTTACCTTCTTCAGGCTTGTTGCTTTTTCTGTAAAATGAGGCTAATAATACCTACCTCATAGATTCTTGAGAAAATTAAAAGTGATAAAGCACTGGTATTTTGTCTGGCACATGGCAGGTACTCAATAGCTGTTATTACCCCTATTTTTCTCCACTTCCAGCTGCCAGTGACCTTTCTCATGTTCGTTGGCCCAGGCTTGTACTTCTTCCGTCACTGTCCCCAATTTTTACTTCTATACCCACATTCTTCACTGAAACTGGCTGTTCTGGTTTACATCCTCCTAGAGACCTGCCTTCAACTGGATCTATTACGTTTTTCCATTTATTCATTCAACAGTTGCACTGCTTGGATTTCAGAAATATCTAATACTGTCCTTGCCCTTGAGTAGATTACACATCAGCAGGGAAGATTGCGATTGTATTAGTATATGTCACTATATGATAAATACTATGAAAAAATATATAAAGGCTTTTTAAAGATAGAAAAGTATGAAAGAGGATGTTAGAGCTTGTAAAGAAAAAGACTACTTACTGGCAAGATGATGAGAGCATGCTTTATGGAGGTGTTTTTGAAGAATGGCATAGTAATTTAGTTGAGGTGGGTGTAGGGGTGTATGTTTATGGGTTTGGGTTTCTATCTGTACGTGCTGGAAGATGAGAAAAAAGGAAGTGATAGGAAGGCTATTCCTGAAGGAAAGCTTCTCCATTGCTTGGAGCATCAAGTCCAGATTGCTTGGTGTGGCACCAGCGCCCCTCCTCCCTTTCATAGTGCGGCTCTGCCTGTCTTTCCCATTTTCCATTCTGAACCCTTTTTTCATTGGTTCCTTAAGTCTGCCATTGATATTTTATTCTCTTTATCTATGTTCCACTTTTTGAAACTTCTTGAATTTCTTGAAAATAAGGCCTTTTTCATCTTCAGATCCCCAAGGCCTGAAATAGTATGCCTCAATAAATTATTACTAAATAATTGACTAAATAATGTAGTGTATCCATACATTGGACTATTAGTTGACAATATAAAAAAATGAAATTGAAAACATTATGCCAAGTGAGAGAAACCAGATTCAAAAGGCCATATATATCATGTGATTCTGTTTCTATGAAATGTCCAGAATAGGCAAATATATAGAGACAGAAAGTAGACAGTGATTGCCTGGGGCAGGGAAGAGGAGGATGGGAATGACTGCTAATAGTAAGGTGTTTCTTTATGGGGTGATGAAAATGGTTTGAAGTTAGATAGTGGTAATGGCTGCAAAACTCTTTGAATATATTAAAAACCACTGAATTGTACACTTTTTAAAAGGGTGAATTTCATGATATGTGAGTTATATCTTAATAAAGCAGTTATTTTAAAAAAAATGGATGGCAATCCATGATTTCAGTAAAGGTTTACTCCAGATGGGTTACAGAAATCCTCAGAACTTCCCTAATTCTTCATTACTTAAAAACTTTCTTTAGACACATAACAGGTTGTCTTTCCTTTGATCAGGGTTAGTCGAACAGTCTTACAAGTTTATTATTGCATTCCTCATATCCTCTTGGTCTGTGATTAAGAAATGTGAACAGGATTTATTTTTCTGCTTTTTATTCTACAGTGGACATTTTAGAGTCTCTAGTTTCCTAGAATAGTACCTCAGAAGGTAAATATATGATTTCCAAGTGCTAGAAAGTATTCTATTCCCCCAAGTATGAAGTGGCTCTTTCATTAGTAATGAGATTTTGCTTTCCTCTTTTTCTGTAGCGGAGAATTTTTTTCAAGACAGATAATACAAATGGATCATTTGTTCCAGGAATTTAGGATAACACATCTTGCTTTAGTGTAGTTGTTGAGTTTTTAAGTAGTATGAAATTATCATTTTTTTTCTTTGTTTCTCTTTCTTTCCCCTTTCCAACATTTACTGGATAGTTATTGTGTGTTCATATATGATGATTATGCAGATAAGTCAAGGCCCTTGTGTCCCATTAGAGAAGATAGTAAGTACACCAATGACTTTTTCATAGTGGTTTCAACCCTGGCTTCCTATCACACTCATCCAGGGAGTTTTAAAAATATGCCAGTGCTTAGGCTGCACTATCAGAGTTTCTGATTTAATTGATCTGTGCTGGGGTCTGATTACCAGTATTTTTAAAACGCTTTTAAACTGATTCTAGGGAACAACCAGGATTGAGAATCATTGGTCTAATACAAGGCATTATAGGATTGGCACTATAGAATACAATGTTTGTTATTGGAGTTTAGAGACTGGAGTATGCACTTCTAGCTGGGAAGATCAGAGAAGTCTTCACGGGTAAGGATATATTTGCACTAGTTTTCCAAGATGAGTATGATTTGGCAAAGGAGGTGGATAGAGGGAGTCAGAGAGAAGAGGTAGAGCAATGATGTGGAGCAAGGAAGGAATGGGGTGGGTCTGAGGAGTAAGCCATGTGGGGAGAGAATGTGTGAATACATTGGTGGGAACTGAGATCCAATAAGTGTTCAATCTCAAAGGGCCTTAGTAGCCAAATGAAAAAAACCAGACGTCTTTTCACAGCACAAGAAAGCAAGCTGTGGATATCAAGCCAGTAAAAGATATAATCAGATTGAACCATAGGAAAATTAATTTGGCAGCAGTTTTGAGGCTTACATCATTTCCTGTAGTTCATCAAATTTCAGAAAATCTTCCTTTCTTTCTCCCCTAGGATAGGCTGCCTGGAAAGGAATCCTAATGGAGGGTGAGAGAAGAATGGAAATAGGTTGGAACCAAATTTTAGGAGCTGTGGGGACTTAATGCCTTAGACGGTGGAGAACCGCTGCTGAGATTAAGGAGGATAAGGGCATAGCCATATTTATGATGGGGGAAGTTTGGATGGCGGATTGGAGAGAGGAGACACTTAGAGTGGGAAGTCACTTAAAAGGCTCTTAGCAATGGTGGAAGTGAGAAGTTCCGAACTAAGCCAGCATGAGAGGATGGAAAATTTTGAAAGTCGTTTCAGACTGGAGGGACTAATTGGATGTGAATGAAGAGGAAGAAATTTACGATGAGGTTGAGTCTGCAGGTTCCTAGTTAGAGTGGTTATATGGGTGGTCTTGCTCTCTGATCTAAACTCTTCTTGCTTAACTAAAGAGTTCCTCATTTTAAATCAAGAGATCCAGAGATATAAATTACATTTTAGGTATACATTTTAAGGGGAAAAAATCCCTTGTCAGAGAATTAAAGATTAGATGTCATAAAAGATATTTTCCATATATTCGTCACCCCAGGTGAAGAGAGGATAGATTCTAGAGTCTTAAGTGGATAGCGCCTGGCAGGTCCCAGCAGTCTCTCAAGTACAGGATGAGCCGGTGAGTCTTTGTAGAAGGACAGATAAGAACCTCAGATCCAGACAGAGAAGCATGCTTCAGTTTCTGGGTAGGTCTGTGAGAAGGAAGTATATGTCAACAATCCAGGAAGACAAGCCAAATTCTACATGAAGAAGAGGACAATGAGTAAAAGGGACATGGTGCAATATCAGTAGCAAAGTCTTGACTCTCACTATGTATGTTTTCTACCAAGTTAGGGCTTTGATCTGTTATAATTTCCTGTTTTCTACCTAAACTCTATTTAAAGCAACAACCTTAAAGTTCATCAGAAGCAGGACTTAGTGTTTACTCCCAAAGGATTTAAGAGTAGAGATGTGGCTTCAGAGCTTTTAGGCTAGCTGCGGAATGATCATGTCAGAAGCATGAACCTGACTTGTGGGAGCGTAGTGGCTCAGTGGAACCACATAAGCAATAATCAAAAAAGAGCCAAGGAAAAGAGAGGCATTGACAAGAATGTGATTTAGATGTTTGGTAAGCTTAATCAGTTTCCCCAAGGTAATTGTCAACAGTCCAGATCTGAAGAGACCCCAAATGAGCTATGAACTAATGTATGAGAAAATGTAGCCACTGAGCAGCAAGGGGCTAAGATATATTTAAAAATTTTAAAGGTTTGAATAATTTTTTAAGACCAGATAATTGAGTTTATTGATAAAAATAGCTTGCTCACATCATCTCTGAGAACCTCTGTATCTGCTGATTCCTGGAATCTTTGCTATTATTTGTAGTTATTATTACCAATAACTTTTTCCCCCTTTCATGTGTACCAAGTATTAAAATTACATTGCCTCTTTTTATGCATTTGCCTGCACTCATATAAATTCATGGCATGATGTCCACTCAGTATCTCCTGTGCTCAGCTCAGAGCATCTGGGACAAGGCCTCATTGGAATTAGAGAAGCGGGAGGGGCGACCTGGCTGCATCTAGAGAGCAGTGCTTCTGGGGATTGAGACTCCCTTAAGAATCTAGTGCAAGCCATTTTTCACCAGAAAAGCTTCCACAGCCCCTAAAATCGGCGTTTTTTGAGGTTTCACTAGGGTTTGTGGTTTATGGGTAAGAACTTTAGCTTTGGAATGTACTCTAGAATCTTGACTAGGTTCTTACTCTAGGAGTTGCATTTATGAGGCAAATCATTTTTTCATTAAGTGAGGAACCTTGTGCCCATTTGTAAGATGTATCTGTGAGCAGGATCTTATGAAGCTTACGTTCTATGTGAAGGCAGATAATAAGCAAATAAATAAAATAAATTCAGATTAGTACTTAAGTATTGAGAGGGAAATAAAACATTTATGTGACAGAATGGCCATATGGCAGCAGAACTATTTTAGATTGAGTGCTCCCGCACAGGAGACAATTGAGATGAGACCTAACTTCTTGATCACTAAGACTATAAATGAGTCGTTTTGGTAATGACTTTTAAAAAACCAGCCCCGAAGTTAAATATCAATTTCCTTCTTAACTTCTGTAAGTAAGTATATCATATTTTGAGAGCATCTGTGTTGTCTCTCTGTATTTGGATGCATTCATATTGCATAAAGCAAGGCTGCCCTCTGGTGGTAGTCTGTTTAATAGCATGCCAGCTTTACTTCTGCAAATCTGTTTCAAAGGTGTGCTCTTAATTTAGTGGGATTTATTTGTGAAAAATAGATATCTTTTTTTTAGATTGCTTTTGAATTTAAAAGGCCTTTACAATTATAATTTATTTGAACATCTTATTTAGTCTCAAATAAATGCTTGGAGTGGTTTTCTCTGTTCAATGATTTTTACACGGTTGAAGGAAAGATTACCTAAGAAATGGGAAGAAAACTCTCAGAACTGAAAGCAGATTAATGATACTGGAAAAATAAGCAAGGTGAATTGCTAATACAAGTGTAGGAAATGTGAGACTTGAACTTGTTTATCGAAACATGTATTATATTAAATTCCCCATTCCAAAAGGCTTTATACCTTACAACACTTTCTCAGTAGAAAATTGTTAGAAAAATGTATTTTGGAATTTGAAAAGATAAACAACAGTATTTAGGAACAGCGAACATTATTAATAGGACTTTACATTAAATGGTTAATAAATTTCCATTAAAATATCATATTCTTAAATTTAATAGTCTAAATATTTGGTCTGTTTCCTCTAAATACTAATTTTTTAATGTTTTGGTTTTTGCAATATGGATGTTTTCTCTTTCCTAAGTCTTTAATTGAAAGTTTCTTTTTGGAATAATGGTTTTCATCTCTTACAGAGTAGTTTGACGAATAATTTTTTGTTTTGCTTTTGTATTTTAGAGAATTCATATAAGAGATTTGAGAAAGTATTAGGTAGCTGACAGGAAATAAGTTTGACTATTTTTCTAAAACCAGGGAAAATCTATTTTACCTATAGTCTTCATTTACAGTGTTAGCTCTTTTCAAGGCCTTTGATTGGGCAATTTATTTCCATTCTTTTTGGTAGTAACCTCAAAGGAAAATTCATAAAGATTGATAACTGCACGTGTTTCTAGTTGAATCTTTATCAGGTGATATATATAATTTTGAATTATTCACATTCCATGGTCTAGTCATTATGTGCTGTTTGAGTGCAGTTAAAAATGCAATTGTGTAATTTGGTTTTGAAAGCCATGTAGTCATTCCATAATCATGGCATAAAGCACAATAAATGGTCTGGAATTATTTTGGACTAAAGATAGTGTGGATGGAGAGATTGTGTAATTTAACTGGACAGTGTGGATTTCTGTTTACCTTTATTTCACAGAAAGATATAAAAGATATCTAGCAAGCATTTCATTTTTCATAATCTTTTACTGAATAGGACACTTAAAGCTGTACTGTCTCTATTAGGCTTAGCTTGAAAATGTTGAGTTAGGGGCTGGCCCCGTGGCCAAGTGGTTAAGTTCATGCACTCTGCTCCGGTGGCCCAGGGTTTCGCTGGTTTGGATCCTGGCATAGACATGGCACCGCTCATCAGACCATGCTGAATCAGTGTCCCACATGCCACAACTAGAATATATAACTATGGACTGGGGGCTTCTGGGAGAAGAAGAAGAGGGGAAAAAAGAAGATTGGCAACAGATGGTAGCTCAAGTGCCAATCTAAAAAAAAAAAATGTTGAGTTAATATCCTTTTATATAGATGGGCTGATAGGAATTACAGGAACATCTTTATAAGGTCACATTATATACAGGCTTTGAATTGGCAGCGTTTTGTTGATGGAATCACTGTGTGTATAAATATGCCTTGCTTTTATTACAAAATATGACTTACACATTAATATACATACGCTGGGCTTCACTGCGGGGAAAAAAGAGCCTCTCTATGTGTGGAGCCTGTTATCCTAATGTTCTGGTAGATTGATTTCCTTTTAAGTGTGGAAGGGTAAAAAAGCCAGGTTTCTAGAATATATATATGTGTGTGTTATATATTAGCTGCTGATCACAGATTCTTAATTAACTTTCAGTGCGTACCAGCGTCAGCGTTGTTCTGCATGTGTTACGTCTTCTCATGACTGGGAGAGTTTACTTTGAGAAGAACTAGTTCTCTCAGGGATCATCTCTAGATTTTTTTCACTAGGAATAAAAATAAGTAGGATATTTCCTTCATAGACTGCAAAACTGAATCAGTTTTCACTTACAAAACTGGGTCACCTTGATTATGCTATTTTAAATGTTAAGCATAATTTTTATCTCAATTAAAATAACTTGTGATAAGCTTGTCCTTCTTTAATCTTTAAAGATTTAAAAAGTACCAGTCTTGACATTCTTATTATATTTAGTGTATTTTCTCTCTTTCTTCTTTCTCTCTTCATCATAAATATGATGGAACATGTTGAAGGGTGTGTTTGGGATTTCCCTTTTTATTTTTGGAATCTAGACTAATTCTTAGTGAAAATAAAATCCCCAATATTAGGATCATTATTGCTTTTCTCACAGTGGCTTCAACAATCATATATAAATATCAGGAGCACAGGGAGCGAATGCATAAGGTGAACTTTATAAAAGCATGTCACTGCCAGAAAGTAATAGGTATCCAAAATAAAATGTAGTGGGTTGGTTAGGATTCAGAACTCCATAGCTTCTCAAGTAGACTTGGTGTAAAGCCTTTTCAGTTTAGTTGCTCCTTTTCATGTGCATAGAATGTCTTGCTATTCCTAAAAGGCATGTTGATGAGACAATAGCAATAACTCTGCCATAGTTTCACTAATATATATGCTTCATTGGCATGTTCACTGTTTATCTTGCACTAGCCTGTTGCTTTTTATGACCATTTAAATTAATATGATAGATTCAGCCTTTGTTACGTTTTAGTGCTTTTATAATAAAAGGAGTTTCTCCCTCCATCTGCAGGTGCTGCTGTTTTTTCAAACGAAGGAAAAGGAAAACCATACAGCGCCACAAATGACTCTGGACACAGACAGATCATGGGGAGTTACTTACGTGTTCATCTGCTGTCTTGTGACTAAAATCATCTCTGTAGTGACCACATATATTTTCAAGGACTCACTCTTAGAAACAAAAATGTCATACTTTCATACTTCATTTTGTGGTTGTCTTACATTCATATTTTTTCGAATTTAACTTTTATGGAAGCTTTAAAGTTTTGTCAAAACATGAGTGCTTTGCCCATCAGTGAATGGAATGGACCAATGAGGTGGTATTGGTGAATACAGTTCTATAGAACATTTTCAGAAGCTCTCCTCCTGTTGTAGAAAGCAGTACAGTATCTTCAGTGTCAACCAGTTATCTACCGAATCTGGCTTTTTATAACTTCTGTAAGAGCATAATCAAACAGGAATTTTCTCCCCAGTGGATAACGCAACAGAGAAAACAGAGTTGCCCACATATCTAAAAGAAGTTATTCCTTGAGAAGTTCGTTTTTTGTGTGACATCTGCATTGATTTCAGTCTTACTGATGGTACTGCTGTTCATGAGGCATCTTAACATTCTCTCTCTGAAATCATGGTACAGCCACTGCCCAGAGGTACTGAGGAAAAAGCTCTGTGGGTTCGGCGGATGGTAGTAGTAAAATGAATTGCGAGTAGTGTGGTAAATATGAGCTCTGCTTTTGTTGCACCACTATGTGAAGTACAGTGTTGCCGAAGTGGCAAAAGCGCTTATTTTAAAAAATGCAAAATATTTGTATAATGTAACTTTTTGCTTCCAGATAATAATGTATGTTAGACAGCAAGAAATGAATACTTCAAGAAATAAGACATGTTGGAGTTTAAAAAAAAAAATACACTAAGGAGAAGAAATAAATGTGAATCTCATTGCAATGTGTAAAGTTGAAGTCTAAGGAGATCCCACTGAAACCTACTGCTGAATGATTACGTTCTCCTTAAGCAGAAAACTTTCGATGTGCCATGTAATGGTGTCTGTTTATTAATTATTTGCTCTTTGATAAAAAAGAAAGACCCCCAGCAATAAAAACTGGGTCACTCTATTGCCCTCTGTGCACATTAGTCTCTTGTATTCAACTTTGCTGGTTCTCGGGAATTTTCCTACTTTTTAGCAGAATTTTGATGATTGAAAACTATTTTGGAGAGGAGGGATCAGGTGCTTTGCCTCCGTAGTCTTTTGAAGTGCCTGCATACGAACAAAGCGACGGTTCTGTAAACAAGGAAACCCAGTCCACTTTTCAAGTATGCTTTGTTTTAAACCATAAAGACACAGGTGTACTTTGTCACATCCTACTAGCCAGGATTTTCAAGAAGAGTTACAACAAAAAGACTGGCTAGAAATACAGTTATGTTGCCCAATCTCATATCCAACTTTCATTTATAAAATGGTTACTTACTCCTTCCGTGCAGCCCCTTCTTTGTCTTTAAGTGCCTGCCTCCAGGCGTGCTTATTTATTTTTATTGTCTCAAGGTAACATTTAAAATGTGTAATTAAAGTAAATAAATCTACATTTTTGACTTCATTATTGCATTTACAGGGATTTAATTGTGCTTTGTAATTTATTTTTCTTATTAGCCAAAAGCAGTGCATTGTTTTTGATGAATTAGGCACCCATATGAATACTGTAAATCAAGACATTGTTCATCATTGTTGCTCTGAATCCTATGAATGATCTTTTTAAGTTCTTGATTTTAAAGACCTACACTCAGCCTAGAAAACATTTGCTGTATAATTTGGTCAACAGAGTCCATTCTATCTATTTGTATACTGTCATGATGTCTTAAACTACAGGAGTTACATACTGAGTTTTTATTTTTGTTTGCTTTGAGCAAGGTAGATGGATGTTTTGGCCATTATAATGTGAAACCACTTCTTTCTTTACAGTATTTGACCAAATTTGTGTGTCTATGATATTTGTAAATACATGCAATATCTGTATTTCTTATCATAAGCCTATTTAGTTTTATTCTCAGTAGGGTTTTTGGACTGTACAGTGTTTATATGATCTGAACTCCTTATACATAAGAAGGTGTGTATATTAATCCAATTATGGACTTAAAATATTTTAAAAGTATAAATACCCTTATTTGCTGCAAAGACCAGTGTGTAGACATTTGCTTTTTAGCAATATTTTTAAGTGCTCCATTTTAATGCCAAGGAATAAGTCTTTTGGCAACACAAACTGGTCAATAATAGGTAATGCAGGTATGTTCAGGTTAAGCCCAACAATGTTTTGCATTTTTATGCTTCTTTTCTGTCAACACTAATGAAGTCAACATTGCCTGAATGTCTGAATAATGAAACACATCCCTGTTTAAAAGTATGTAACTGAAAAAGAAATAAAAAATAAAGGTAGTTTTTTTAAACTTGCTCTTTCCCCTTTCCTCTAATCATGGGTAAAATAATGCCACTCACTAATTTAAGATCGGGATTTTAAAAATTCAGTTCATTTAGTTTAGTGTGTGTGAGAAGCAGAGCTAGAGGAATATGCTTTTGTGTTTTCATTTTTGTCTTGTTGGAACCCCATTGTGAAGAGCACATACCAGGAAGGATCTAATCTTTCTATAATGAAAGTTTAAAAAAATTTTTTGTTACACTTCTCTGAACTACTTAGTAGAGCAATTAATTAAAACTGATGCCACTAATAAACCAAGGGAAAAGGAATCATTTTATTCCTTTTGAAAAATGAAGTCCTACTATTATGTTCACAGAAATGAAACATTATTAATCCAACTTTAAGTGAATGACTTTAACATCATTGCAGATGGAGAGCGTTTACCTGTGACAGTATGTCACAGTTTCATCATGCTAGGTGCTTTAAGGGATTTTACAAAATGGTTTTAATGGCTCTGCTTCCTGAAAGATGCTACAGGTAAGATAAGGCGAAGCAGCACACACTAAGCCCATGAATAGTGTGTCCACTAAGCACCAGCATTAAGAAACTATAGAAGGATCTGGAGATGAAACATAACATGGGTTAAACTTACATTGAAAGGCTCTATCTAGGAAAATCTGACTTAAGATTGGGGTTCAATCTGAATGATTGTATAGTTGCATTAGTCAGCAGCCTTTGAAGTGCAGGTGATAGCAGCCTAACTTCGCTTAAGCAATAGGGGTGTACATTATGGCATTTAACTACGAAGTCCAGTGGTAGAGCTGGCTTCAGACATGCTTAATGATGTTGCAGAGTCAGGAATCTGCCTTTGCCTGTATCTCTGAGTTTTGTTTTCTACCCTGCTATTTTCATTGTCAGGGAGATGTTTCATGTGTGTTGGTGAAGTGGCCACCCAGCAGCTTCAGACTTCTACCCTACTGTCTTAGAACCTCCGCCAAAACAGAGCGCCATTTCTCTCACCAGTTCCAATAAAATGCTAAGACTGACGTTTATTCTTTCATTGCTTCCGTGCCCACCCCTGAGCCAATTACTATGCCCAAGGGATTGCTGTTCTCCCAACGGCTGAGCCTGAGTCCTCGGTCCATCTTCAGAAGACACATGGGACTGAGAAATGAGGTAGAAAGGTTGTTACCCAAAAGGAAATGAGGGTATTGGTATCAGAAGGAGAGTGAATGGATGCTGCACAGGCAAAATCAATAGATATCCACTATTATGATGAGAAAAAATAGAGCATAAAGGCAAACCTAATTGTTTTAAACTAGAACACATTATCATTAATATTTTGAAACTTTAATAAATCTGAATATATTATTAGAAATCACATACAGGGAATGAGTACATTTGAAAAATGTTTTGAGCTCAGGTAAAAAGGGAGTTCATAAGTACCTTATTTGACATATTTTTGTTTTTAGCTTTTCAGGGTTTTGGTGATAGGACTGGATTAGTAGAGTTAAAAGCTAATTTTTCTGGTAGAAAACAAATAAATCGAATATAAAACTGTGCTGATGTTCAGGTTAACTAGTTTCTTCTCTGCTAGCTCTAATATAGAACCACATGTTATTTTCTTAGGAAGTTTACTTCCTTACAATACATGGATCATAACCAAAGAAGGGACTGCATATAGAAGTATTAGCAGGTAATATTGCTAGGATCTGAAAATGGTTTTGTTAGAAAGAACAATTGTTCACGGTTTACCACAGCGTGATTTTACTTAAATGGAAAAACTCTCCTGCACTGCTCTAGACTAGGAGTTAGCAAAATTTTTTTGTAAAGTTTAGGTTTTGTGGACGAAGAGGCAAAACTGAGGCTTCTATATACCTGTGTGATGAGGAACAAAACAAATTTCCACTAATTTTGTATTGATGAAATTCAAAATATATATTAATGCTTGAGTGCAAAATTTTTGTAATACAGGTCTACTAATGATGAGTTGAATTATTTTGAGGGGACAGTATTTCACTTAATTGGGGTTTGAAATTGATTGCAAATGTTCATCTGTTGTCTGATCTGTAATGTGATTTTATGTATTTCATCTTTGAAAATGTCTTCACACAAATAGATACTACCAAGTACTGTTATCAGTCTTCAAGTGTATGATTTTAATTCAGCATATTCATCATTTGGGAGGTATTTATAGAACTCTATTAGATTCGGCTCTTGCTTTTGGCATGTCATTACATTGCAGATTAATCACTTCCTGTTCAAAGTTAGGTAGATGCTCCTCAATTGTACACTTAAATGGATTTTGAAATATGGACATTTCCTTTGCACTTGAATTGAAATCCCAAAGTGCAGCTGGAACTGTAGTTGAATTTGGAAAATATATCCACTGCAAATTAGTGTGGGGATGGAGATCTTGCTGCTTGTTTTAACTTGACAACGTGGGAAGTATATAAAGCAGCTTGACATGCCATGTGGTTTAAAAACAGTTATCATAATGACTTTGTTGCAGTATAAATTTTATGTATAAGTGCTGTTTTGCCTTGTAATTTTACGTTGAATTTATTAAGCAGTATCATCAAGTCTGCAGCAAAAGCTATAAAGCCATTCAGTGTTTGTTAACAGTAGGTGAGGGTGATTCCAATCAGAAAAATTTCCATCTTGGTCCTGAGCTCAAAAAATTGCAATAAAACTTTGCCACTGCCATCAAACTGCTGTGTGGTTCAGCAAGTCAGGAAATTCAGTTTCTATTTCTGACAGAACTTCCTGGAAACAATGATGGTTAAGACCACATGAGTGAATGAAATTCATCATTGACTTTGTTGCTGTTAGTGCCATCGAGTCGATTCTGACTCCTAGTGACTCTGTGTACAGTAGAGCGGAAGCTACCTTGTCTTTTTACGCTGTCCTCTCTCCTTCCAGTGCTGTCAGATGATGCTCTGCTGCTGTTCTTAGGGTTTTCATGGCCAATTTTTTCAAAAGTGGGTGGCCAGGTCCATCTTTCTAGTCTGTCTTAGTCTGGAAGAATCTCTGCTGAAACCTGTCCACCACGAGGGACCCTGCTGGCATTTGAAATACCAGTGTCATAGCTTTCAGCATCATGGCAGCACGCGGCCTCCACAATATGACAACCAGCAGATGGGTGGTGTAGTTCCCTGATGGGGAAATGAACCTGGACTGCAATGGTGAGAGTTAACCACTAGACCACCAGGGCTGGCCCCATTGACTTTACTAGTTCAGTAATGGGACAGATTCAAATATTTCCCACAAAATACCTGCTGAAGGATAATACAATATATAGCTATTGACTTTAAACATCTTACATTTTCACAAGCTTTGTAAATTTGTCCAGTAAACCTTTTATTACACACATATTTTTACCACCATCAGTTACAACCCCTCTTGGCAGATTCCACTTCAGTTTGTGTGGAATTGGTATCTTCCCAAGTTCTTTAAAAATACTCTTTCTTGAAGTTGTCCCGTGGAGACTTTTCACAGAGGCTAATTCTTGAGTCACTTCAAACCCAGCATTGACTTCTCTAGTAAACAATAACACGGCAGTGTTAGTAACATCTATTGACTCGTCAGAAGCCAAGGAAAACTACTTGAAATTACTTGCCTTATTTTTTAGTTGACTATTGGTGTTCTCAAGTCTTCAAGTGACTGTCCTTGCTAAAAAGCTAGTGTTCTTAAATGAGTTTATTTTTTCAGGACACACTTTCTGGCTACTGCAGTCAAACAATCGAATTAACTGTAACTCACCATCACAAATAGTTTTCTTTGCTTGGCTAACAAGTGAGCCACTTGGAAAGGAACTTTGCTTGCGCCCTTGTTCTCATTTTTTTGTGTGTGAATAAGTTCTACTGTGACGAGATATTCTGTTTGAAGTTTTCTGATTGTTCTGACCGTTGTGCTTCTGTGAGTTGGGGACATTGTGATGAGTGCTTAGTTCGATAATGTCGGAATAGATTGTACTCTCTTAGCACAGCTAAAGTGTCATTGCATAGTAAACATGATGCCTCGCCATATAATTGTATAAAAAATAATCCACGTTCCACTGTGCCTTAAAAGCGCAACACTCAAAGTTCACTTTTCTTTAATTTTTTAATGATCAATATGCATTAGTAATAAAAAGTAATACAGTGTCTGTATGACAATGTGTGTGGCACTTGAAATGCTGTTGAATTATACCTGCATCACTGAGATTTGTAGTGTGTTGAACAGTAGTTTGAAGCAATGAGAGCGCCACATATGGTCTCTGTCACAACTATTCAACTCCGCCTTTGTAGCATGAAAGCAGCCGTAGACAATAGGTGAATGAGTAAGCATGGCTGTGTTTCAATAAAATTTTAGTTATCGATGCTGAAATTTGAATTTCATGTAATTTTTATGTCATGAAATATTCTTTTGATTTTTTTCAACCATTTAAAAATGTAAATACCATTCTTAGCTCATGGGCTAAATAAAAACAGGAGGCAGGCTGGATTTGACTTGCATACCATAGTTTGCCAACCTCTTATCTAGACTGTCTTGGAAAGATTTGGGTGTTTGAAGTAAATTATTTTTTTGCCTAAGTGAGTGACACTACTTACCAAAAAATAACCTTTCTTTCCTTTATAAAAAGAAGGGCCATTTTGAAATTGCACCAAGAATTAAGATAATGTTAAAGAAAATGCAGCCAGCACATATGGGAGTTAGAAATAAAGCAAATGAGATGTCTGGCTCCCACATGAACTTGGATGTTAAAGCAGTGTGTGGTCTTGGAAAGAGCATAAATTTTGGGATCAGACAAATTTAATTTGATTCTCAACTTTACTTAACTTGTGAGAGCTATGACAAGTTATTTGACTTCTTGGCATCAGTTTCCTCACCTCAAAGTGGACATAATGCCTGCTTTGCAGGACGGCTCTGAGGATTAGGGATAATATTTATAATCTCTCTCAATGTGAGGTATCTTTTACCATTATCCTCATAATAAAGTAAGGTTTAAAACTGAGCAACACCTTGATTTTTCATGCAGTGTATGCCTCTGCTCTTTGAGACAAGAATAAGGCCTGGTATTTATTAAACTTTATCTTAGATTGAAGCCATCATTTCTGTTGAAAAAGATTTGCACCCTAGTTCTATCACATTGCACAATTGGCTATCTTGTCTCACTAATGGCACTGATAAATTCAAAATCATTAATTCTATACCTTTATTGATAAAAATGACAAACAGCAGAGAATCAGGGCAAAACCCTGTGTCAAGCCACTGTATTCCTAGCTTAAAGTGGCTATCAATCCGTGGAATCAATAACGTGAAGTCTCAGCGTTCTCTCTGCCGTATAGTAATTCTTCTCTGCCAATTGACTGCCAGTGGCTGTTTACCAGATGCCTTGCTGAAATCCAGGTAACTATTTATTCCATTTCTTTGCCTGCCATTCTCATTATCCTGTGGGGGAAAAAAAAAAATGAACTGGATTTAGTTTGTATGACTTTTCCTAGTGAATCCATATTAACTCCTAAAGATCACCATTTCTATTTCTAATAGTATAAATGGTCTTTTACCTAGTTCAATCTAATCTGACTTGGAATCAACATTATTTACTAGTCTATAGCTGTATAATCCACCATTTTCTTTTTTTAAAATAGGAATTCCGTTTCCTGTCTCTAGTTCTTTTGATTTGCTCCATTTACCACATGCAAGGTCTCTCAGTATAAAATTTGTGCTGGCCCAGAGACTTCGTTGTTCTTTTTAAATATCTGTATCTATGATGGGCTTCATTTCCTTCTTGCCATTTTTGCGTCTTTCACTTTCCAGGCTAAAGACTATTCTTGATTTAAAAAAAAGTAAAAGAAGACAAATTTTAAAAAGAAGCCAAGCCATACATTCTCTGTCATCCCTCAACCCTTTCCTTACATCTGGCTCTACACGTAGTTTATAAAACCCTTTTTGTTGCCTTTAAAGCATTTTTCTAAAAGAAATTCTCAGCTAATTAGGGGAGGAGAGGTTTAAAGCTTTTACCATTTCTCATATTCATTTTCTCTGCACACTCTGTTTCAGCTTTTGTATGTGTCCTTTTGAAAGCTGAGCTTGTCAAAAGGGACGTCTTTTTTCTTTTTCTCAAGCTTATTTTTTTCTTTTCTTACCAGGATCATTTTTAATTGTAGAACTAGAATCTCAGTCTTGAGTTCCCTTCACCAGGTGTCACAGATCTTAAGATGAGTTGCTCACCTTCTCTTAAGGTGCCTGGCACTTCCTCTTTATCAATCAATTCCTTCTTGCTGGTCACTTTTGTGGTCCAGAGTGGCTTCGATTTTTGCTATATCTACTTTCTAGGAAATTAGCTTTTTGGCATATAAAGAGTTGCTGGATGCTCTGGTTTTAGTAAAATAAGACTTAGAGATGCTTTTTGGACAATTGGAGCTCTCATTACTAAATTTTATGTTTTCTGCTTTTGTGCTCTTTTAATTAAAGTTTATGTACTCAGCAACTGTTTTGTTTTGTTTTAAAGATTTTATTTTTCCTTTTTCTCCCCAGAGACCCCCGGTACATAGTTGTGTATTTTTAGTTGTGGGTCGTTCTAGCTGTGGCATGTGGGAGGCCAGCCCAGTACAACCCAATGAGTGGTGCCATGTCTGTGCTCAGGACTCGAACCGGCGAAACCCTGGGCCGCGGAAGCAGAGCCGGTGAACCTAACCACTCGGCCACGGCGCCGGCGCCAGCAACTGTTTTTTAACACCTTGTGCCTGGCAGTGTGTTGTGTGCTTAAATCTGATTTTCTTTCTCTGGCCTGGCATTCTGTAATGTATTTTCATAATTGCATCCCAATTTTTCCTCTCTTCTTTGCCCAGATATTTTCCACAGTGCATTTTACCGTGGGTGGCCCGAATTTCATTGCATTTTTGCAATACAATGATATTGTATATCATTCGGGTGCTTCCCTACACCTCCCTTCTCATTTGTGTGTATTCTAATCAGCAATCTCATTATACCCAGTGTCAGAGACTCCTAGGTCCGACTTACTGTGCCGTGTTTTTATCTGAGTCTTCTTGTTTGTGGCTCTTTTCTGTGCATTAGTGTGAAAACTCCTAGGTGTTGTTTTTGAAACTCCTGCTAAGTTCTTTTCTTGAGTGAATCACTTGGCCATCTCTAACTTGATGGTGTATATTACAGCCGCTTTCGTGTTTTTTATCTGATCTTCTCACCCTCGTACTCATTCAGTTTAAAAATCGCTGTAACAAGTCAAATATGCTCCTACCAAGATCTCATGAGATAACATTCTAGCCATCTTAAATTGTGCCTTGGAAATTAGAATCTCACTTTAAAACATCATATGGGTAGGAAAATCACTACTTTCTTTCTTGTACTTTTCTACTTTGTCCTGCATCCTGTATCGGCTTTGTCAAGATGCCCTAAATATTCTGTACTCAGTTTTTTTCAAATTATAAATTTATATAATACATAAATATATGTATATATAGTAATAATTATGTATAATATACACATGAATTATAATATAAAAATTTGGCAATTAGAGCTATTTTTTCCTCCACAGTAATTGGTGCTTAGATCACTTAAATGGCAACACCAGCTGAAAATCATGCCCCCTCAAATAAACATCTGGATAATCCCTTATGGTCTCTCCTATAGGTTTGGCTGAGGGAAGACCAAAAGGGGGCACTAAGAATTGAAAGTACTTATTTTTCATATTCAAGAAGGGTAAAAACTATTCTTTAGTCAAGTCCAAATTATGAACAACTAACTACTGTTAATTCAAGATAATTTTGGATTAATTCACAAGCTCTGAAAATCAGTCAACGACAGCATCACTCCAGTGGCCGTGCTTCTGAAAATGAGCTAGTCAACAGTAGCCTCACTCCAGCCTTCTGAAAGTGAGCAAATCAATGACAGCCCCACGCTCGTCAACAACAGCTGATCAGCAAGTGCCTCACTCCAGTGACCATGCTCCTGAAAGTGAGCTGGTCACCGGCAGCCCTCCACCAATGACCACACCCCAGGTATTTTATCAGCCCTGTTAGATTCCTGTAAACCCTGTGGCACCATTGTCAAGGGTCTGTTTATTACTCTCTTGTCCATTACCCTGTTTGTGCCATCTCTTTCCTTTTGTGAAGCTGAGTGATACGTTGAGGATCTAGGAAAAATTTTGTTTGAATAAAGGGTTCTGTTTTAAAAAAATGTTTGAAAAGTGCTGCCCTTTATTCCTTGTGTGGTGCTTAAGAACACAGAAAACTGTATTTTCTGAATACTAAATGGTATATGGAAAGATTTCCATCTGAATGTATTAAACTATTTCTGATACCTGGATTAGCAAAGCTTTCATGGACAAGACTGTATACTTGTGCTGAGTCCTTATTCCTCAAGAGGGCCTGTTTGGCAAAGTAGATTAAGCCTTCACATTTTAAAAGAGAAACGGCTCTGAGTGTTAGGTCTCTCACAGAAGGATGAACAGTTGTCAGTGGTGTTGGGCAGCTATTGTCTCAGCTACGGGGGGAATATTACACCCTGACGGGAAGGTGGCAGTGGGGAACTGAGGACTAGGGATGGAGGGCACTGGCCCTATTAGGACTCAGGGTGCTGATTGAAGGTTTAGACTTTGCAGTTGGATAAACTTGTGTTTGTCATGGTTCTGACACTTGCTTGCTATATGACTTTGGTCAAGCTACTTAACCTCTCAGAGCCTCAGTTTCCTCATCTCAAGAAGAAAATTAGAATTCATTTCATGGAGTTTTGGTGAGGAAGATGTGATAAGACACGTTAATTGCAGCAAAATTTGGTTCACAGTAGGTGCTCAATGAATGGTAGCTGTTATTGGCTATTATTATTTAAGCCGTATGGGAGAGTAGAGCTGCCAAGGAAAAGATGATGTGGTGGAAACCCCAACTGCACACTCAGTCAGCATGAAACTGAAGCATATGTTTATAGTAATTCCAATAGCTGCAAGCAAGGTGTTTGTGGCAAGCAACAAATCAATGGGGAAATGGAACTTATTTCAGAGATAATAGAAAAAAAGACTGGTGAGAGATATGGCGTGAGTCCACGGAGTGCTAAGTTACGTAAGTGTTAAGTAGGTGTTAAATGTTGCCTTTCTCTTTTCTTCTCTTCCACTGCAGCAGTAATACCTTGGCCTCAGAGACAGAGAACTGGACTAGGAAATCAGAAATATGTTTCTACTCAGGGATCAGCCATTAACTAGCTGCGTCACTCAATCTTTCCGGGCCTCCATTTCATCTATGTAAGGGAACAGTTATGGACTGAATGTTTTCTTCTCCCCAAAATTTGTATGTTGAAGGCTTAACCCCCAAAGTGATGAGATTTGGAAGTAGGGCCTTTAGGAGGTATTTAGATTTAGATGAAGGCTTGAGGGGTCCCCATGATGAGATTAGTGTCCTTATAAGAAGAGAAAGAGAGACAAGAGCTCTCTCTCTCCCTGTCGTCAAGGACACAGTGAGAAAGCAGCTGTCTACAAGTCAGGAAGAGAGCTCTCACCAGGAACTGAACCTGCTGGCACCTTGATCTTGGACTTCCCAGCTTCCAGAACTGTGAGAACTACGTGTCTGTTGTTTAAGCACCCAGTCTATGATGTTTTGTTATAGCAGCCTGAGCCGGCTAATACAGGAACCAGTTGAGAAAACTAACTCAAAGATTCCATGAAGATGATTCTCTTAGCCTTTGGCATCTTCACAAGGATATGACAATCAAATGAAATAATGGATTTGGAAGACTTTCTGACCTTTAAAGCAGGGATTTCTACACCTAGCTGGGTGTCAGAACCACTTATAGATACTACTTTTTAAAATGAAGTTTCTTGAGCCCTACTTCCAGGGATGCTGATGGGGAAAAGAGGAGCTATTCATAAAGAACTCCTCTAAGAATTTACTTGTATTCCCAGGTTTGAGACACCTTACTCTGAAACAATGCCCCTTAATGTCCTTGAAGTTAATGACTTAAATTGGGTAAACTTCTAAGAGTTGGCTACTGAGATGTCCCTTTAAAGACCCTCTTCCTTAGTGCTGTTTGTCAAGTGTTTCTGGTTTGCCTCTTTTCCAGTCACATAGTAGCATTGTACTTCTTGCTTGCTGTGGTTGGGTGAGGCCATGTGACTCATGGCCTGAGACCATTGCTTTTCTGACTTGGCTCAACTGTCTTTGTGTTCAGTGTTTCAGCTGCTGACTGGCCTCCCTTCTCAGACCTGGGCCAACACCTGCCCAGTCTCCTGGTAGATTCTCCCCTCAGTAAACAAACATAGTTAAGTCCCTCAAATCCTAAAGACATGAGGATAACACCCTCCATTGATCCTGCTCCCTCATGCAGTTTTTCTTTTGTCTCTCTCATTTCCTCTCAGCCAAGCTTCTTGAAAGAAGAGCTCTAATATTGTCCCATAATATTCCAGTGCCTGAATCAATGTGTAACATGACCACTGCCTGACCCTCCCAGGCCCAGCCTCTGCCAGCTCTGCTTTGAGGACCAGGACTGAGATAGTGAAAGCGACAATATTTACTTCAAAGATGTGGTATATATACACAATGGAATACTATTCAACCATAAGAAATGATGAAATCCAGCCATTTGTGACAAGATGGGTGGACCTTGAGGGCATTATGCTAAGTGAAGTAAGTCAGAGGGAGAAAGTCAAAACCGTATGATCTCACTCATAAGTAGAAGATAAAAACAACGACAAACAAACACATAGCAACAGAGATTGGATTGGTGGTTACCAGAAGTGACATGGGGCAGTCAGGAGGAGGGCAAAAAGGGTGATGAGGAAGGTGTATGGTGATGGATTGAAATTAGTCTTTGGGTGGTGAACATGATGTAATCTACACAGAATTTGAAATATATTACAATGTGCACCTGAAATTTATATAATATTAAAAGCCAATGTTACTGCAATAAAAAAATAAAGAAATACAATTTTATTTTTAATTTTATGTTTTGTGAGCACCCATGGATAAGTATGTATAGATGCAACGAAAAATGAAAAACTTAGGAGTCAGCTGGTGTGACGTTTAGGAGGACTGTTGGCTAAAACCCTTCTCCTGACTAGGCCCCAAGTTCATTAATAGGTTCTTTTCATAAGAAGTGAATGAAAGATTCAGAACAGCAAGGGACAGATTCATTAAGAAATGCTCTTCAACAAAGACCCTTTCATTTTCCACTTAATACAAAGGGATTATTAGATATTGCCCCCACCAGTTTCTCAGTTCTCTGCTGGTGTGACTTCTTTTCTTGAATTATTTTAAAAGCTGTGGGGGAGGAAGACATTTCCTTTACCTACTCTGAGTCCTTCTGTCTAGGCTATGAATTAAATTCACATGACACAGAATAAAAGGAGAAAATTAAACAAAGCTTCATAACATGTATACATGGCAGAGGCTCAGGAAAACTGAGCAACTCACCAAAATGGTGGAGGCTCTCATCGTAAATACCATCTTCAGCTGCAAAGGAGGATGTTGGGGGTGGGGGGAGACAGTTATGGGAAATTACTGAAAAAGCACAGTAAACAAGAGTAAGGTTGTCACGTAGATTTAAGTCCTTGCCTTCCCCATTGATAAGGTTTCTAGAGATAAGGTCATCCCCACTTCTTCCTGGTACAGAGAGGGAGACACCTTTACAGATGGAGATTTCCCTTACAAATGTAAATGTCTCTTAACAAAGGGTAACTTCTACTTTTCAGAGTTTCTCTCATGTCTGCAGTTTTTAACCAGCCCTAAACAATCCTCATGCCAAAGAGACATACCTTGGGGTGGCCAATTCTAATCCCCCACAAAGCCTAAAGAGTGAAGACAGCCAAACAAGAGATGTGTCTGGATTAAGCTCCATAATGCAATCAGGTCAATACTCCCTTTTTTATACACCAAAGATCATCAATAATGATGACTTTCAAGGTCAACTTTACCTTTTACATTTAGGACACTGAGGAGTAGATTTCCTCTACTTTCTAATAGACATTGAAAAATGCAAGCATGCAAAAGTTCTCATACCAGAGAGAAAGATAAAATGATTGAAAACTGTTGTACGCTGTTGTTCCCTCCCCTTGTTAGAAGCTGTGTGAATACCCCCGGGGAACAAAAGAGTGTGTTTTATGTTGCAGCGCTATCTAGGAGCTGGCTTAGCTTTGTCTCAGAGGAAGGAGGGATGGCCATTTGACCAGAGGCCAAGAAACCTTGGCAGAGTTTTCTAGGAGCCGCCTGACAAAAACAAATGTGGATGGAGAGGGGAAACTTTCATTTGTTAACTCATATCATTTTTCTCAAAAAGTGATGAGATTGTGAGTGAATTTTATGCATTAGATTTTTTTCAGTATTTTGTGAATGAAAATTTAATGCCAATGAAGTGAGTGAAAACATGAAGAAACAGACTTTGGACACAGGCTCTTCTTTCAGGAAGCTTGGCTGAGAAGAAAGGAGAAGGAGAGAGGAATAGCTGGATGGGTAAAGCAGGATCAAGGTAGGAGGGTGTTTTGCTTGTGTTTTTATGATTGGGCTGGGATCATATCATTGGAGGGGATGGAATGCGTTTGTTTACTGGGGAAAGAATCTATCAATGAGGATGAGGTCGAAGCTACTGGACAGGGAGAATGATGTGCAGGAAGGAAATCCCTGAGAGGATGAGATAGGATTCCAAAAAGAGGGGAGAGTGGAAAGAAGACGGAGCTAGTTGGGCTTTGTAGAGATGATGTGTGTGAGGGAGGTGAGAAAGTTGTTCAAACGATTGGCTATAGTGTCTTGTTGAATTGAGATGTAAGTGAGCCCAAGAGGAAGCTGTCTGCAGGTGGCTATTTAGCTGGGAGAAGATGGAGCCATCAAGAGACTGGGAGGTGATTCTCAAAAAAGTCAGAGTAAGCACAATTATTTTAAACTCAATTTTGTTATACTATTTGATACCCATGACCTTCAGTTTTTCTTTATGCAATATATAAAGTTAATGACATAAAAATGATTGAATTATAAAATTTTAGTTAAAAATGAAAGAAATCTTTCACCTGCTGTTATGATAATAGTCGGCTTTTAAAAAGACCTTTTTATATGAGAAGTGTTTCACAAGCAAGTTGATCTATTAAAGAGTCTTTGGTAATATAAGTTGTATTATGCATCTAGCTGACATTTTATAAATGTTTCATGTTAATCATATTACATTGTTTTTGATATAGATATGGAAATGTAGTTCAAGATCTAAAAATTTAGTACTACACAACATTTTGCTTTCAGATATGTATAGACCATAGATTGTAGTCTTCATATATTTACATTATGAGTATTATACACGAAGGATAAATTTTTCCCAAATCAGATGTTAATAAAAATGAAAACAAGGGAAATACATAAAATTCTACTGTTTCTGATTTTGTTAATGGAAAAAAAATAATGAAAAATAATTAAGTAGAACAGGAAAATGACTTCAGATTATTGTATCCTTATTATTGGTTAAAAATATAAATTTAAATTTTCATTTTATTTCAGAACAAAATTAATTTTATGTTTTAGCCAGCTAAGTTCTGAGTCTTTATGCTGATTTAGACACAGATAAATAAGTTTCACTTGCACATATGTCTATATAGGAAATTTCCTCTTCTAGGGGGAAAAATTAGATTTTACTTATCTCTTTCCATCCTTTGGCTTTCACAATATACTTACAGTGAATAAATTGTGTGTGATGCTAAATGGAGATAATACCTTCAGGGGCCAAAAAGAATATGAATGGTGATCAGTGACACTCAATTGCTAGTCTTAAAGTGTTCTTCCTAATAAACATTTTATCATTGGAAAGATATTATTCTCTAATTAAAAAAGAAATCCTTAAAACAGGCAAACTCTTGAAGTCTCCTCTATGTGTAAGCACAGATGTATAATTCTTTCTCTTCCTTCTTTCCTTCTTCCCTTCCTTCCTTCCTTCCCCTCTCCCTCCCTCTCTCCCTCTTTCTCTCTCTTTTTCCTTTCTGTCTGTCTGTCTGTCTATCTATCTATCTATCTATCTATCTATCATTGATGTCAAATTCACATGACAAAAATTCACCATTTTAACCATTCTAAAGTGCATGATTCAGTGGCATTAAGTATATTCACATGTTGTGCAACCAACATCACTAACTCCAGCACAGTTTTATTGCCCTAAAAAGAAACTCGTACTTATTAAGCAATCACTCCCCATTCCCCCTCAACACCCCAGCCTCTGGCAACTTCTAATCTACTTTCAGTCTCTACTGATTTGCCTATCTTGGACATTTCATCTCAATGGTATCATATAATATGTGGCCTTTTGAAACTGGCTTCTTTCACTAAGGATAATATTTTCAAGATTCGTCCATGTTGTTTCATGTTTCAGTACTTCATTCCTTTTTATGGCTGGATAATATTTCATTGTATGGATATACCATATTTTGTTTATCCATTCACCAGCTGAGGGACATTTGGATTGTTTCTACTTTTTGGCTATTGTGAATAGTGATGCTGTTAACATTCATCTATAAGTTTTTGTGTGGACTTAGGTCCTCAATTTTCTGAGAGTAGAATCATGGGGCCATATGGTAACTCTATGTTTAACGTCATATGAAACTGCCAAACTTTTTCTCAACGACTGTACTATTTTATATTCCCACCAGCAGCAACATACGAAGATTTCAATTTCTCCAAAAACTTTGCCAACACTTGTTGTTTTCCATTTTTTAAAATAACTTTTTAAATTATAGCCATCCTAGTGAGTGTGTGAAGTGGTATTTCAATGAAGTGGTTTTGGTTTGAATTTCTCTAATGACTAATGATGCCGAGCATCTTTTCACATGTTTATTGGCCATTTGTATGTATTTTCGAGAATGTCTATTTGAGTCCTTTGCTCATTTTTTAATTGGGCCATTTGTGTTGTTGTTGTCGAGTTGTAGGACAGTTGTAGTTTACATGTTCTGGATACCAGACCCTTGTCAGTTATATATCTGTAAATATTTTCTCCCATTCTGTGAGTTGTTTTTCACTTCCTTTATAGTGTCCTTTGATGTACAAAAGTTTTTAATTTTAATGAAGTCCAATTTATCTATTTTTTCTTTTGATGCTTGTGCTTTTGCTAAAACATTGCCTAATCCAATGCCAAGAAGATTTTCACCTGTTTTTTTCTAAAAGTTTTATAGTATTACCTCTTACATTTAGGTCTTTGATCCATTTTGATTTAATTTTTGTCTGTGGTATGAAGTAAGGGTCCAAACTGATTTTTTCCATGTGCATCTCTAGTTGTTGAAACCTGTCTGTGTCTTGTGGCTGCCTACCCTTCTTCTTAGGGTGGTTAGTCAGGAGGCCATGGTTTTCCTAGAGAATTCTTCTTGATTGGCATGTGAGCATCTTTTGTCTGAGATTGTTCATTATCTGTTGAGAAGATTACGTCTCTCCCATTGATGGGGATTTGCCTGACTCCTAGTGTTCTATGTTTGATGGTGAGAGAGCAGACATCTCTTCCTTATATTAACTTATGAACAATCTCTATGTTTTTAATCCACGTCTCACCCATGACTTCTCCTTTCCTGGTGTCTCCAAGACCCCATCCTCTTAAGGGTTCTTCAGGATAAAATCGTTATCATATTGTCTACATCTCCCTATTTGGTTAGTTAAGGCTGAGGATCACTCTGCTAAATCTAATTCTTTCATCTTTCTTGCTCTACCAGTCCATGTGTGTGTTTTCGTTTCAGCTCTACCACGTGAGTGAATCTGCTAGGTGCCTACGTGCTCAGGTGACAAGAACCCACTGAACAAGCCTGAGATGGATTTTCCCTAGTATCCTTCCATTCGAGGCTTTGAGGCTATTCAGAAGGTTGTGGACATCTCACTGAGCCTAAGATAGGGCTTTACAAGTGAGTAATACTCAATAAATAATTGTTTGTTATTTGATTTTATTGATGGACCCCACTGAAAAAGAAGTTTTATAATCTAGTAGGGAGCAGATAAAACGGGACTTTGTCAGGGAAAGGGAGAAAGAAAAGTATTGATTGACGTAAGTCTCCTAAAGAGGAAATATGATTTTTGCATGAATAATAAAGTTGAGATGAGCTAATAAAAAATCAGATTATTATTAGACTCTAGTATATCATATTAATCCATTCCTCTTACAATTATAATGTAATTATATTCTTTATTGTATAACTAAAAGATAATAAACATTTTGTAAGTAACATTATATAGTGACCTAGTATTATTTAGTGAAATGCTTTTTAAATTCTGTTGATTTTATTGCATCTAACCCCTAGAATCTCTACACTAAATGTGTTTCTGAAGCTGGTGACTCTTCTCTCTGTTTGTAAGGATAGTAAATGAAGCCTGCAGTCCAGGTAGGAAATGGCAGTCATGAGAGGTTTTCAGGAGACCTCTTGATGGATACACTACATGCCACCCTGAACTCCTCTTTATGTGCCTTTCACCCAGTGGAATGCACCATCGTCATATGCCTTAAAAATGTGATCTTCAACTGCAAAATGTTTTCAGAACAAAAAGGCGTGAGTGAATGGGTATATCATTCTCATGTGAGCTACACTGTAGGCCTTAATTTCTTTCTGGCTCAAATAAAGTTTGTGTGAAATTATGGCTTCAAGCCCACTTTCGGAGTCCTGAAACGTAAGGAGTTATCACCAAGAGTCTGACAAAGCTCTGCCTTGTAACTGAGATTTACTTCCACGCAGCATCTGTAAATTGATTAGGAAAATAAAATTTTCATATTAAAGTGGCTCACAAAAGAATTATTTTGACTATGACCCTTGTATGTGGGGGTTTCAAACATTACTAGGTATTTTTCACAGTTTATTCTAATTGTGCCCTGAAGTAAAGGACTCCTCCAGTAATGGAGACTAGATTTGATACTGAAGTAAATTCCATAATTTCCTAAATCGTATTTTGTTTTTTTAGAATATATATAATGAATATAATCCTTCTGTCTTCGCAACCTGGTATTAAGATATTAGGCCAGTGACTCTACGATTAACTCTTTGAATAAATGATATATTACAGCAGTGTGATATTGCTCTGACTTCATGCATCTTTTATAATTAATCAAATATTTTATAATATTTGCATCACCATTGCGTGTAACTTGTGCGGTGAGCCCATTGTTATGGGGATTCCAGGGTCCTAGGAAGTGCAGCTCAGCACTCAGATTGTCTGGCTACCTCCACTACCTGGAGCTTTTAAATATCTTTTCATTAATCCAAAGATTAATACATGCCAGTGGTTGAAATCCAAATAATTCAGACGGTTATATATTGAAAGTCTCCTTCTCATGCCAAATATGCAATTCACCAGTCCCTCCTCTCCAGAGGCAACCAGTTAGTTTCATGCATACACTGTCTAGAAAAGTTCTATGCATGTGAAAACTTCATATATATATATATGTATGTATATGCGTAGACACAAACATATCTAATGTATCTAAGTACAAACATACTGGACATACTTGTTTTAAATAAAAATTTCTAGATCTTAGAAATTACTTCATATAACAGTAGCATTACTTATTGGCAAGTATGTAAATTAGACAAATTGCTATCATTGGAATTGCTGGATCAAAGAATATGTGTATTTACAACTCTTAAAAACTTTGGATTTACTTGGAATTTATCTTGAACAGGAGTGAGGTAGGGATCTAGCTTGATCCATTTCCAGATGGCTGCTAGTTTTCCCCAACACTCTTTGTTAACTAGTAAATGTCTCTCTAGTGTTCCAAAATATTGGTTTTTATTGTACGCTAAATTCCATATACATAAAATTGAATTTATTTTGTATTCTGTCAAACATCTAATCTATTCAGCTTTTTAATGACCATAGCTTTTGTTTTAATATCGTTAGGCTAGTCATGTACATTTGCATGTTTACTTTTTGACCTAATCCTTAAACTTCATTTTTTTGAGTTTAAAAAAATAATCCTGTAACAGTTTTCTTTTTCTGGGGTCACACAATTTTTGGAGATTTTAAATCATTGAGTCTTCTTATGTAATAACAAGGTATGCATATTACTTTAATTTACCCAGTTGTATTATTATTTGAATATCTTTAATGTTTCCCTTTATATTCTAAAATAAGGTTATCCCATTGCTTGATTTATCAGCTTTAAAAAACAGTATCCAGTGATAATCTGCCTTGCAAAATTAGAAAAATCAATGTGCTTATATTTCTTCTACCATATTCTTTCCTTCAGTCTTCCTTTCCATGTTTATTAATTAGATTGTTTTTCAACATATTCATGATTTGTAATATTTATATTTTATTCTTTCACCAAATTCTATTCCTTTGAAATTTCTACACCTTTATTTTTGGTGAGGAAGATTGGCCCTGAGCTAACATCCATTGCCAATCCTCCTCTTTTTTGCTTGAGGAAGATTATTACCAAGCTAACATCTGTGCCAATCTTCATCTGTTTCGTATGTGAGACGCCACCATAGCATGGCTTGACGAGCAGTGTGCAGGTCCGTGCCTGCTATGGGAACCCATGAACCCTGGCCACCAAAGCAGAGCACGCAAACTTAATCACTAGACCACTGGGCCAGCCCCAAAATTTCCACAGCTTTTATATTTGAGTGGAATTAATTCACTCCACTAGTCCTTTTAGTATTATTTTTCCAATTCTCCTTTTTTTTTTTCTGCTTTATCTTCCCAAACCCCCCGTACATAGTTGTATATCTTAGTTGCAGGTCCTTCTAGTTGTGGGATGTGGGACGCCGCCTCAATGTGGCCTGACGAGCGGTGCCGTGTCCGCGCCCAGGATCCAAGCCCTGGGCCACCACAGCGGAGCGCGCGAACTTAACCACTCAGCCATGGAACCGGCCCCTCCAATTATTCTTGAGTCTCCTCATGTTTGAAGATTTATGTTCTTTGCCTTTATTTATGAAAAATAGTTCAGCTGAGAATAAAATTTCTGCGTCAGGCTTTTGCTCCCTGGACCCTCTAGACCTCCTTGTCTGTCTTTTGGCGATAAAAGTTCTCGCGGAAAGTGCACTCAGTTCCTGGTACGTCCCGCCGCCGGAAGTGACTTGATTGATTTTTTGGTCTGGGTGTTCCTGGTATCTTCTAAGTCCATCTTTGAAATCTTGGGATTGACTGTTTTATATCAGTTTTGGAGGGGCAAAACATACCTTTTCAATCTTTTATTTCATGAAAGATTTTTTCTATTTTATCTTTTAGCAAACTTCCATCTCATTTGTTTATTTTCTTTACCGGCAACATTGATTATGCCCATTTTGGAACTCTTGTCTGTTTGTCATATTCTTTCATTCTGTCTACTATTTGTGAAATGTTTTCTTTTTTTCATCTTATTTTGTTCAGTTTTATCAATGCTATTCTCCATATTCATGACTTTGTTTTCAGTAGTGTAAATGTCCTTTTTTGGTAGTTATGTTTTATTCATTTAAATCACAATTTTATTTTTTCTGTTTATTTTGTTTCATTAATTTAATCTAAAAGCTCCCCTGACCTTCCTCTGCTTTCTTTATAAGCTGTGTGGTAAAGTTTTTCTAACGTAGCATTTGGCTGTCTTTTAAATTTTTTTCTTGAAGTATTTCTTTATATATTTTGGTGTTTTTTTTCCTTAGAGTATCTCTTTACATATTCCATGCTGGTTCATTTCTAGTTGTTATTCATCTTAGAATTAAGGCTTCTGAAAAAAGAGGGAGGGAAAGCTGAGTCATTTGGGAAAATAAAAGAAGATATGGTGCTTTGAAATAAGACCACTGAGAAGAGATGAAAAAGCACAAAGGAAAAATGATAAAATAGCAGAAAGAGGTGCATAGTGAACTGGTAGAGCCAAAAAGAAATGGGAGAGAAAAATAAGGCCTAACAGAATCAAGACAGCATTAGGTGTTGCAGAGAATAGAGAAGACAGCATGAAAACACAGTCAATGAAAAACAGAATAGGCTTGGAAAGTCATTTTTTAGTGGGCCAGCTATTTTTTTGAAGACAGTCTAGTGGAAGGGCTGCAAGAGTGAGCTGGATTAATTAATTGTCTTTGTGGACTTTACAAACTAAAGGAAAACCTCATTGTGGGTTGGATTCTGCTGTTATCTAGGGGAATTTCTTTTTGGTTCGCATGGAAAATTCCTATGTCACAGAATTTCTTGCGTACTGATTGAGTGTTTACTGCTTACCTTACTAAGAACTGGTTACCGTCCTCCATCTCTCTTCTCTCCTCTCACCCTAACAGGTGAATTTTGCTTTCACCATGCCAGTGTTTCCTTACTTAGCTCCATCTCCTTCACCGCAGTTGGTTGTCGAATAGCTATAGGGACTCTCAAGTGCTCTGCCTTGCACCCAGATCTTGTAAGGAAAGAGTTGTCGATTTCACTCCTCGTCTGGTGACCTCTCTGTAATGCTGGAAATCTGCATAACCCTGTGGCTGCTCTCAGCCTTCTCTCTCAATGAGGTCTAATATGCACTGTTCTTGGCAAACTTCTTAATGCATGGTTCATCATTGTGGCTGAATACACATATACATTTACATTATGTATTTCGATTTATATTTCACATTTCTGATTTTTCTTCACCTTGTAGTTTTGTGTTTGTTTCAAAGAAGAGAGCCTAAGCTCTGCCATATTAACTAGACATCTTCCCAATGATCATATGAGAAAGCCATTCCTTTGGACTAAGCATTGCTCTCTCACTGTCAATCACCTTCTAGAATGGAGATATGGAGTTAATGACATGATGACACTTTAAGTCAAAAACGCTGGAGTCTGAATTTATTTTTATCACATTTCAAAGGCCTTGGGAAAATGCCAGGGAAGCATGAGTGGCAGCTGCCTAAAGGGTGAAGAAGCTGGAGAGGGAAGAAGTATTGCCTTGTTGCTCCAGGCTCTGAATCTCACAGTGATGCCAGAGGTGTTCTTCTCCTAATGACTGCGCTTCCTGGGTTCCTGAGACAATCCTGAACAAGGTAAGATGTTAACAGTCTCAGATACATTGGTTGGTAAGATCCGGAATTAGCAGTGCTATCCACAGATCAAGGGGGAGCCCAAGGTGTTCAGGTGGCTGACAAATCACAGAAATAGCTTCCTACTACCCAGCTTATATTATATGCTTGGATCATATCTATCAAATTCTGGCCCTCCATATAATAGCTGTTGAATGAATTACTATTTCTAGGACTAGAGTCAGGCTTCAAAGCTGACTACTCATCTGGGGCCCTGTTGCTGTGCCTATCTTCACATGGCCTTCCACTCTATGTCTCTGTCTTCTCATTTTCTGTCTGTAACAAGGTTGCTATCACTGGATTTAGGACCCACTTGGTTAATCAGGATGACCTCATCTTGAGATCCTTGATTATATCTGCAAAGACCCTTTTTTCAAATAAGGGCACATTCACAGGTTCTTCATATTTTGGGGGCTACCATTCAACCCACTACACTTGCAAAACACATATTGGAGAACATTCTCATGTATGGCAGACATACATGTCCATAAATTATAAGGTGATATATAGGAAAGTTGTAAACCGTGATTTACGTGAAATTCTTGAGGAGTTAGCTACAACTCCCCCTCCTTCTTGCCTGCTGATCTCTAACATAACAATGAATTGTTGCAGTGGTGTTGAAAACCAATGGACAATTGTAAGGCCACTTAAATGCCTGTCTGTGAATATGGCCAGGGTTTTACTTGTTGCTATGCCTCCACCTTAAGATTGGACTCCGTTGACACTGACACTTGTCCCAATCCTATCTAAGTTTGCTCTATTCTTTTTGCATTTCACTTTGCTGACCCAGAGTGAACCCAAACTTTGACACGTTGCCTAGTCCTATAGAACTTACCCTCCTGCTCTCAGCCATATTGCGGGGGGAGGGTCCTGGTCTGATTTCAGTGCACACTGCATTTTCAGTGAGAAAAATATTAGCAAATTCTGCGATTGTACCTAGGCTCATTTTGCTGCAGTTCCATAAGCAAGGCGTAATAATAATAAAACAGTGGGCACTCGATTTGTTGAATGTAGAACAAAGGAGGTTAGGTAACCTGCCTATGTTCATATGGCAAATAACTGGTAGAACTAAGTTTCAAATCCAGGTTTTTTTGATGCCAGACCCCAAACATTTAGTCACTATGCTGTATGGTTCCATTGGAGAACAGCCACTTACACCAGCCATGGGCTAGTGCAGATTTAATAGGAACCCAACAACAGGCAGTCTTCATGAGATCATCTGACTCCCAAAATAGTACAGAGAATGAGATAAATTATTTTATCCAAGGGATTAATTACTTGATTAAAGAACTTTGCAGAACCATTTCACGAATATAATTCTTGCTTTCTTGTAACGTCTGCTATTCTAACTTAAATTTTTAATGCTGTGCATGTCACATAATTCCTATACATGGTAGAGCATTAGAAACAATCTTGCTCAGTCAAAAAGGCATAGGAGAGAGGGCAGGGAGAAAATGGTGAACGCAGTAAAATAAGGAACAGTCGAAGGTTTTACCACAAACAGCAAGAAAAGCATTGAAATTATACTACACAGCCTAAAAACACAAAACATTTCATTTCTCTTTGCGTGAAACTGGTCTGACCTTCATAGTTCTGAAATAACAGGACATTTTATTTCTGTGGTAACTGTACTGCATTTTAGGCAAGTAGTTAAGTAGAATGCTCAGCATGAATAAATACAGTTAGAAATTGTTAGGGCAGAATTCTGTGAAGAGTGCATGTTAAGCAGTAATATAAATGTAAGAGCTCACAGCAAAATGAAATTCATAATGTAAAGGTCAAACTTGCCTGAGAGAGACTTTTAGGTAAACTATTGGGTTGAAAAACCGATTCCCATTTTGTTCTAATAGTTAGCAGCGTATGGTGTCTGAGGCAATGGGTTTCGGTTGAGTGGATCTTGTAGCATTATCTTGTGCTTGATTCAGCAGAAACGTGTATGACTCCGGCAGGACTGTGAAAAATGGCTGAAGTTCCTCTTCCTGAATCTGAAATTCATGACTAGAAACAGTATCAACAAGGTAGGTTGTCAAAAAAATAGTGTAAGTACTTTATCTAGAAGTGGTATATTTTCTCTTAGATAAACACTGAGTTTAGAAGGATAGAGTTATGTAATTTTGAACTTGGCCACGGTCTTGGCTAAAAACAACTGGAGATAACAATCAGAGATACTTATTATTATTATGACTTTTATCTCCTGTCTGGCTCCTGGATTTGAAGTATATTGTCTAGGCTTGTTCCAAATGAGAAGGTTGGCTGGGGTCATCAGAACTTGTAAGAGGACCAGGAGATCAATAATGTCCTATCTGGACTGTGAGTGAGCCATCAAATGTAGTCCTCATCTTTTGGGGAATTTTGTAGTTACTTATTTAATCCTTACATTTATCAATCATTTATTGAAGCCCAACTGTGTACCAGCCACTCTTCTAGAGATGCAGAGATAAGTGAAAGGCAGTTACTGCCTTCAAGGCTATTTAGAGAGGGCGGTGACTGAGCAGATGCACAGTTACGATTCTGAGTGCTAAGGGGATGCTGAGGTCATGAGAGCCCAGCTGACCCCACTCAATCCAATTGGAGGAAGAAGAGGAATTTAGGGAAAGCCCGTTGGAGGAAGTGCCGTTTGAGGGGAGTGCAGAAGTTACTTAACGCCTGCACAGTAAAATATTGAGAAACTACCAGCGATCTCTCAGGGCTGTAGCGAGGATGACGTTAGATTGCACGTGTGAGAAAGCCTGGCACGTGTAGGTGCTCCCTGTCTTCATTAGGATCACTATGGGGGGATTTCCACTCTCTCTAGTCTTGAACTGCATGCATTCCAAAATCTGAATGAGATAATTAAACTAAATATTAGACCAGGTTAACTCAGGCCAACTATGTAAAGGCACAACGTAAATTGTCAAACACTATAAACTCATGATTTATCACTCTGAATGAACATGGAAAAGAAGTGATAGTTTAGTATTAGTTTTAGTATTAGTTTCCTATTGCAGTTGTAATGAATTATTATAAACTTAGCGGCTTAAAGCAACACAGATTTATTGCCTTATACTTCTGGAGGTCAGAATTCTGGGATCAGTTTCACTGGGCTAAAATCAGGGTGTTGGAAGGACTGCTTTCTTTTGAAGGCTTTAGGAGAGAATCCATTCCTTACTTTTTCCAGCTTCCGGAGGCTGCCCCACATTCCTTGGCTCACGGGTGCAGCACTCCAGTCTCTGCTTCTGGCATCACGAGCACTTCTCCTCCCTCTGATTTCCTAACTGCCTTTCATAAGGACACTTAAGATTACAGAGGGTCCACCTGGATAATCCAGGATAATCCTATCCAAGATCCTCAACTTAATCCTATCCTCAGGGTTCCTTTTGTCACATAAGGTAGCATTTAAAGGTTCTGGGGATGAGGATGTGGACATCTTTGGGGGCCATTATTCACCCTACCACAAGATATAAAGGTTAGAAGAGGACATCTTTGCTTGCAATGCTACAGTGTTTTGTCCCTGACAAGTTTTAACTGCCCCCAACACATGTTTGGGCCACTGTACCTAGACAGGGCTGGCTCAGAAAGGAAGGTGCCTATCAGAGCCATTGAACTACCGACATCTGCCATATTGATATTCAAGTTTAGCAAGCCGATGGCAAGTCATCGTAGTTGGCCTTGAATTAGAATCCTGTCCCATCCTCACATAGATTTCATCTATTAACTGCTATTAGATCACAATATTTCTCAACTTCATTTAAATTTGTTCAACAGCCATGCTGTGGGCCATGAACAGAATGATGGTACACTGAAACCTAGGATCAGAGTTGAATTTAAGGCACTGATGTTATTTGAGCATAATATATTTTTGCTGAGGGAAAGCTTGTGTTGACTGTGTGTGATTGAGAAAGGCAAACAAATGAGAGAGATGTATTTGTTCCATAAGACTCAAGTGCAAGACATTAAAATTGCTTTATTAAAATTATATTAAGTTCAAGATAATGAAACGTCATATTACTTTATTTTTCTAAATCAAATTAAATCTGAGCCCCTACTCACAAAGGTTGGCAAGATATCCGTACCACTCATGCTTGGGAAGGTCCTCCTCCACCCTAGAGAGTTGAACAAGTGCTTAAAAGTTTAATCAGGGCAGAAATCTGAGGTAAGGGCTCTGGTTGTGAGACACAGTTGATCGGACACTGCTCATTGTTTCAGTCCAGGTGGAACATTTAAAAATGGGTAGATCTGCTGTTCAGAGCATCTGTTTCCTCTATGAGCAACTAAACCAGTGAAAATTTTTCTGTGGTACCCAAGGCCACGGTGTCTAGCATTCACTGTTATCGCACTCAACCCTACCAGGATGCTGGGTTATAGGAAGATTTTGGTCTCTTCCATTCAGGAACCAGCACCATCCTCTCTAACTTAGAGATTTCCAGTCTTTCCCTAGCTCATCCCCAAACGAACCCCTTAGAACAGAACCCCATTTCCTCTTCAAGCCCTTGAACTCTCGCACTCTTGGATTACATGACATAGCATGTGTGAGAAAACTTGGCACACACAGGTGTCCATGTTTTCATTGTGATCATTGTTTGCCACTTTCCTTAGGATTTGAAAACAAAAGCTCCTTAACTCTGCCCTGAGATAAAAGAAACCCTAAAACATACGAACACGATATCTGGCCAGCCCTCTCATTTTTGTGTGATGAGCTACATAAAATTAAGGCATAGGTAATTTCTTAAGCAGGTGATTCCGCTAAAATAATTCATGGCTGAAAAGTGAATTGTTGGCCTCATGCACATCTAGACTTTCAGGAAGAGTAAAGTGTTGATTCAGTGTTCGGCTCTGTTCTTTTACGTCTCTGCCTTTAGTCTTTCTGCAGACACCGCCCCTTTATATCAGTTGTCTTAGAGACAAGAAATGTAATGTTCCTGCTAATCTCACACAGGACACCCCAGATACACATTTTAAAAGTTCCTTTAGACGTGATCGATCAACTCATGAAGGTAGTGCGAATATCGTATAATCATTCTATTAGAGAAACTTAAGAGCAGCTTTTCTTTGTGATTTATCCTTGTTTTATTGGCTCAAGCACTCACCCAAAACCTAGGGGATTCGTTTTAGTGGAAAGAGCTGTACCTTTAACATTTATTTATTTATTTACTCATCTGGTTAAATCGACTGAGATCATTTACTCCTCTCTTTTCTTTTCTTTTCTTTGTTTTTTGAGGAAGACTAGCCCTGAGCTAACTACTGCCAGTCCTCCTCTTTTTGCTGAGGAAGACTGGCCCTGAGCTAACATCCATGCCCATCTTCTTCTACTTTATATGTGGGATGCCTACCACAGCATGGCGTGCCAAGCGGTGCCATGTCCGCACCTGGGATCCGAACCAGCGAACCCTGGGCCGCTGAGAAGCGGAATGTGCAAACTTAACTGCTGCGTCACTGGGCCAGCCCCCCTCCTCTCTTTTCTGCTGAGATTTTCTTTCTTCACTAGTATGTCCAGTTTTGTGATGTTCACAGTCTCTTTTGAACTTGCCACCTCTGTGAAAATTTCCCCCACTTGTACCCTGGTGGCTTCCTGTTTCAGCTGTGAGTCATGATCTCGATTGTCACCTCTAGTCTTCACCTCCCCAGGTTAGTGGAGAAGGAGATAGCCATCTCTGATTGTCCTGTGAATCTCTCAATGTCAGGAACAGCTAATGGTTTCCATGAGTCTTAAAGTTCTTCTAGGCTGCTTGGAATAAAATTGGGGTATCTTTCCCTAGAGGACTATAACAAAGCTTTTTGGGGCTATCAAACCACTTTAGCTCATTTTGAAGAAGCATGGAAGCATGTTGTGAAAGTTATGTAAACGTGAGGGGAAGAATGTCAAACTCAGTGAGTTGTCATCATCTTTGATAAACTCCATTTTCCTATCCTCTTTCTTGACCCTTCTGTCAGTAAAATGAAAGACAGTTAAAAATAACCACAATTGCATAAAAAGGGAACTATTATTTTTGTAAAAGCAATCCTGAACCACAGCTATTAAAAGAGGTAATCTTCAGGGCCAGCCCTGGTGGCCTAGCAGTTAAGTTTGGCATGTTCTGCTTTGGCAGCCCGGGTTCTATCCCTGGGTGTGGACCTATACCATTTGTCTGTCAGTGGCCATGCTGTGGTGGTGGTTCACATTCAAAAAGAGGAAGATTGGCAGTGGATGTTAACTCAGGGTGAATTTTCCTCAGCAAAAAAAAAAAAAAAAAAAGTAATAAAAAATTCAGAAAAAGCTCATTTAAATTTTAGTTTAAAATGACATTAATACAAAAACGTAAAAGATTATTTTTAAAGACATTATTGATGTCATTGAATAAATGTTGAACGAGGCAGTGAGATGTGTTGAAATTGGGCTATGATTTATTATAATTATTTGTTGAAGTTTGGTTTCCCATTTTAGATGCTGTACCTCTTTAGGCAGGAATGGGCTTCAATGCCCTCACCGTGGATGAGTGAAGAGCAAAATCTGCCATGACTACAGGGAAGCTTGTTGGATTTCTGGCTCCTCCTTTACCAGCAGTTTCAGGTCTGTTTGCTCGTCTCTCTTTGCCTGTTCTTTTTCTTTTCTTTCTTTCTTTCTTTCTTTTTTTTTTAAAGATTAGTACCTGACCTAACAACTGTTGCCAATCTTCTTTTTTTTTTCTCTTCTCCTCAAAGCCCCCTGGTATACTGTTGTATATCCTAGTTGTGAGTGCCTCTGGTTGTGCTATGTGGGACATCGCCTCAGCATGTCCTGATGAGGGGTGCCATGTCCACACCCGGGATCCAAACTGGCAAAACCCCCAGCCACCGAAGGGGAGTGCACAAACTTAACCACTTGGCCACGGGACTGGCCCTGTACTTTTTCTTTAAGCTATTGGAATCACTCTTTTATACAGCATGTGATTTTTCTTTTTTGATCTAATCTGAGGGGAATTAGATATAGAAATATAAGGAATATTTCTTTCTCATTTGCATTTAGTGTGTTTTGACAACCATTTTTATTTTGAGCCTGTCATTTTTTATGATACACTTTTAGTTTTAATCATTTTTATTTGCTATGTGGTCTGAGATGTTCATATTTTTCCATGTATTTATATCTTTATTTTTAATTTATTTTTTAAATTGAGGTAACATTGGATTATAACATATAAATTTCAGGTGTACATCATTATATTTCAACTTCTATAGAGACCACATCGTTTTCACCACCAAAAGTCTAGTTGCCTTCCATGACTGTACAAATGTGTTTATATATTTAAATCATAATTTAATGAGTTATCACTTTAAGATTCAATATCTATTTGACTCCCCTTCTAAGAGACGTTAAGATGAGTATACTTCATCTTTATCCCACTTGCCCTCCTGCTTCTCTTTCCCTTATATCACCTGAGGTAGATTATATTATTTCTAAATTGCTGAACATTTACCTTCTGTTCGACTGATAATTTTCACAGTTGTGTAATGTATTTACAATGATTTCTCCATTCCTCTCTAAGTTTATGGGATATCATACTACAATAGTTGTTTTAAAGAAGAGCTCAAAGGAGCTATGTTCCTGATTTCTTGCATGTTTCACATTATCTGTCAATTACTTTTATCCATAAAATGATAACTTGTCTAGATTGAACAACCTTGATTTATATTTTCCTTCCCTGAGACTTGGTAAATATTGCTCTGTTGCCTTCTACAGTGATTTTTTTTTTAAGTCTGAGGTCAGCGAAATTTATTCTTTCTAATAGGAAAATTGCTTCTTTCTTGTTCCCCATAGCATACTCTGTGATTAAACTGCAGTATGTTTCTCTGGTTATGTGCTGATCATTCTATAGCAAATTTCTCCTGGTACGCAATGTTCTCATCTTATCTATACATTTGAGTCTTCCTTTATTTCAGGGAAATTTTCTTTTCTTGTATCTTTGAATTTTTAGTGTTATGTTTCTCATTTGGGAAAGTCAATTATACACATGTTGGATCTCCTTTGGCTCTATAACAGTAATTTTATTTCAAATACTTTAAAAATCTTTGTTCTTCAATATTTCTGTGCCTTTAGAAATGGCTTGTGTTTTCTTATTGATGCTTTTAATGTGACCTTTATTTATGTAATAGTTCCATTTTTCTCTTCTGTTTTTTCTTTTTTAACTCTCAGATATGACTTTTTCATTACACTTATTTTTCTGATCCTTTTCCTTGAGTCCTACTATGTCTTGTCTGAGTTCTTTTTTCAGGGGGGTTGTGATTTTTTAAAATAACTTCCTTTTAAAGAGTACTATATTTTTCAAAATGTTTGGCCTGATGTGTGTTATAGTCTTATGAATTTTTTCATCTGCCTTCTGCTAGCCATATTCTTTCCTTAGACTTTGGTACTATTTTTGTATATACTTCAGCTGATTTTTTTTCTATTATTTATCTGTAATTCACACCTGAATCAGCTATTTGGTGATGGATAGTATAGAGGAGGGTTAGGTCAAGTGTAGCAGGAAGTTTGAATTTTAGACCATGGCTTTTGAACACATTCTCACTAATATTCCATCTTAGGTATGTAAATCATCTCTGAATTAGCTAGAAATCTCTCTGGCACATAGTGAAGCCAGAAGTCTTTGTGTGATTCATTCATTTGGTTCTTTTTTCCCTAGTGATTTTCCTGCTTCTCTGCAGGGCTCCTTGTCACTGATTATTTCTCTACTACCCTGCGTCCCCCACAGCAGTTCTCTTGAAAAGATGGCATATCCGTATGCTTTCTTATTCGCTTGGCAATATCTGCCACTCTGTGTTATAGAGTAAGGTTAAAGAGGATTCCACAACTTTTCTGTGAAACCCAGTTGGCCATTCAAGTGAAGAGTGATTCTTCTGGTCTTGGTATACACCCCCTACTGCGATGAGTGCCTCACTCAGTGTGCTGGTTTGTGTCTCCCATGGAGGTCTCCCTGTCTTTGTGTTATTTTCACTGCACTTGGCAGCAGTTGTGGTTTAGCATTGTGGTTGTTTCTTTATGTGTTGTGGTTTAGAGTTATGGTTGTTTCTTAGTGTATTAATTATCTATTGTTATGTAATAAACCACCCCAAAACTTAGTGACTTAAAACAACCACAATTTATTACTTCTCCTAATTCTGGGCAGTGCTGCTGGTCTTACCTGGGTTCATTTATGTGGCTGCAGTCATCTGGTGACTAAACTGCGATGGCTGAGGCAGCTGGGATATGTGGGCCTCTGTCCACATGGCCTTCATCCCGGCTTTCTTCATAGCATGGTGTCTCAGTGTTCCAAGAGGGTAAGAAGCTTCAAGACCTCTCCTAGCTGAGGCTAGAAAGTCTCATAGCAACACTTCTGCTGCCTTCTGTTGGTTAAAGCAAGTCAGAAGTCCAATCCAGTTTCAAGGGGTGACAAAGTCACAGTGTAACTGGCATCTAGTTATAGAAGGAATTATTGGTCCTCTCTTTGGGCAAACAATCTGTGTTGATGAATGTTGAGATTCATCTTTTGATTTACGTTTCTTGACTTTGTTTTTGTATGGTTTCATACTCAAGAAAGGAGACAGTTTTACACTGTTGCCTTTATAGGAAGTCAGCTATTGTTAGTTTTAATGGTGATGAATAATAGGAAAAGAAAACTCATACTTTTACACCTTCTTTTGAATAACATAGCACTTTTTTTTTTTTTTTTTTGGTGAGGAAGATTGTCCCTGAGCTAACATCTGTTGCCAATCCTCTGTTTTTGTATGTGGGACGCTGCCATAACATGGCCTGATGAACGGTGTGTAGGTCCGTGCCTGGGATCTGAACCTGCAAACCCAGGGCCATGAAAGGAGAGCATGTGAACTTAACCACTATGTCACCTTGTTGGCCCTGGGGCCAATCTTTAATAATTTAAAAACTTGTACCTCTCACTGCTTAATGTGTGAAAGTTTCAGGTTGTGTTCAAGGGAAGCCATTTCTCATCACTCAGAAACATCCCATCTACTTCAGAGTTAATTCTAAGCAACGAACAGTGAAAATTATTAAAGCAGCGTTTGCACATATTAGGTGCTAAGATTAAGTGAAACTATTTTTTAACAGCAGAAAACAGAATTCAATGACTTTTAACATTAAATAGTTCAAGTTCAATGTAACCAACATATAACAAGCTTTGGGGTGAGGACATATGATTTAGTGATAAGCTACCCAGAACTAAAGATTCACTTGCAGAGTATTTGGGTAGTTTTTGTTGTTTTGTTTTGTTTGGCTATGCAGGCCACATTTTTAGTTTGAGGGCCATATAAAAACAGGCTAAAAGCCATGTTTGTCCCTCAGGACGTAGTTTTAAAGTCCCTGTTTATGACAAACTCTGAGTAAGACTGATTCCAGGTTTTAAACATTGTGTGAGTAGTTTAGATGACTTCATTTTTTGTTAGTGCAACTCTCTAGTTGGCCACTTGATGGCAGCATTTACTACGTGCTAGCGTTGAACTACTTTTCTGTTTTTTTCCTCTAGGTGGTTCAGCCTCGTTTAACATTGGTAGTGGAAAAGATTGATAGCAATGCAAATGTATTTATAACCACGAGAGATAGTCACCTTCCACCCCAATTAGCCTTTGCATTGATTTACTGAGGAAAAACATCTATTACTGAAAAAAGTCTCACAGATTAGTGTTGCATTATTTTGTTACAGCTGAAATATGTAGTAAAAGTGATCTCACAGAAGATACACTTTAATCTAACCAAAAAATACTTTCCCAATTATTTTAAAAAAAGAGATACATCATTGAGAATGCAGCGCTGGTTCAGAATACTGCACCACAATTTTTTCCCCCTTAAAGCTATATACTTAGTTATTTGAATATTTTCTAATAATGAGCTTGTGTCACATTTTAGATCTTTAAAAAGAGATTTATTCATGAGCTGTTGCTTGGATAAAGCCATTGATCTACCCAAAAAGGAAAATCCCGTTTCTCAATTTCTTTGTGAGAATATAATTACGGTCAAAACTAAAGTCTTTTTTTTTTTTTTTTAATGAAAAGGCTTACTGCCTTCTGAAATATATTTTCATTTTTTGCACCCCCTGAAGAATGAAACTGCAGCCGTGACTTTTTTCCAGCAGAGACAAACCAACCAGTAATGAATCTATAAACATCCTGGCAAGCCGTTTCCAGGGGAGGGCTCACTGAGAGAACTCCCCTTTGAGATTTACATGGAGCACAAATTGGTAGAGATTTACAAGGCAGTTACAATTTAGTGCTTTTGGCTTGAAAGAAGAGAGTAGGTTTTTTTGTTTGTTTTTCAAACTATCCCGTTTTCCCTTCGTCCCTTATTTCTCTTAAAAAATCATGGCATTTGGGTGAGTTTTTGCTTTTTTGAGCTGTTACCAGAGAAGATTCCTCCTATTATAATTCAGGGCCATTTGAATTTATATGTCAGAGTCAGGTTAAGGGTCTCAATTTGGGTTGTAAATTAGGAGGCTCTCGTGGAGTGTCCAGGGCTGCATAAATGTGAGAAAGAAACATGGGAAGTCTGGAAAGGGGAGTTTATATAAATATCTTTGTGGGTGTATATAAGTATTCTGGGGAGGCAGTTCCAGCTCTGCTATTTTCACAAGCTCAACTCTATTTTCCTGAGCTCTACGTATGTTTACTTACAGACAATTGTACATTTCCTTCTGTTT